TACCCCTTCCTGCTGCCTCCTCAAAGGAGAAAACCAACAACTCAAAACTTAAATAATAAGGGGGGGGGGGGAGTAGAAGGTGCTCCCTCCAACCTCTTTTCCCTGTAATCTCAGAGAATATCTCATTTTACTCAGAGTTCTATAATCCCTTCTCTTGTTCAGAGACTCCCCTTAGTTTCCCAGTAGGTGAGATGTGTTTTCTTTCTCCCTTCCTTCTGATTTTGCTTTTCTACAACTGTATTGTAATATAAAGGAGCCAGAGTTGAGATTTAGGGTAAACTCCTGCTCTCCAAACCCCAGAGATGGTGGCAAATTGCCCTTGGAACATGGGGGTAACTCCGAGGGCATTAAGATCTTTGGCCTTGGCTGCCACTTGCTTCCCAATGAACCAGAGCTCCTGACTAAATAAAAATTACATGTGTACAATTTGCATATTATAGAAAGATTAGTCTTTGAGGTAGAAACTATAAAGCTTCTCAGTTTTTCTACTAGTGTTTTTCACATCCACCTTTCCCCTCTCAATCCATCCCTCCCCCCTCAAAACCCTACAGCCCTTAGCTTCCTTTCTTGAGGAAGCTCATTGTTCTCAGGAGTTGGCGATCTTAAAGCTAGGGGTTCTATACTCAAGTAGGTTAAGATTATGGCCTCTTGGATTCCAGTCTTGGCTGGCTGCCACTAACTCACTCACTGTGAGACAGTGGGCAAGGCACTTCCCTTCCCTAAACCTGTTTCCAGGCTTGTATACCTAAAGAATGAATTAGGTGATCTGTAGGTTCTCTTTCTACCTCTGGCCATCTATGATTCTTTGAGGAAAGACACACTTCCTTTTATCAGGAAGTGAGACATTCCTGCCCTTCACACCTTCTCTCTGGGCCACTGCAGAAAGAAGCTCCCCTCTAGATGCCTACCTTTCTCATGCTGGCATAACCAAAGGGACAAATGAAGGAGTCCCAGTAGGAGGCCTTCTCTTAAGTGACAAACTCCTTCTATTACGAAGAGATGTTGAGAAGGTGATCTAAGTCTAACTCTGAATCTTGACAAAGCAGAGAAGAGTCAAGGCAGGTATGGGGCAAGAAAGCATGCCCCGCGCCGCCCCCCACCCCCCCGCCCACCTCACAACATACAACTTAGACTGTCTGAACACACACTTGGCTTTGCCCTAGGGAGGACCATGTTCAAATACAACTGTATGTGGATGGAAGAAGAAAGCAAGGACATGTGTAAACACATCTGGAGCATTGACACAAATGTCCAATCAGCGCAAATACACTCACTGCTGTTCCATCCTACATTAGGCCTATATGTGCCTTATAAGAAGCTATGGTGAGTGGGGGTGGGGGGGGGCACCACATCCCAGTCTTACCCCTCCCCAAAGTCAGAAAGGAAGAGACAGTGAGACAGGAGCTACTTGGCTTCCTATAAATTGTTTTGTCCTTCCTCACAGCTGCAATCAGAAGCTAAGGGCTCCCGCAGGCCTTGTTCTGATCTGCTGCAGGCGATGGAGGGTTTTTGAAACGGAGAGGACTTGGCTGCGGCCCCGTTTCAGCTGCCATTGGGGCTGGCTAATGGGCTCATTCGGGAAGACCCCCGCCTGCTGCACTAAAGAGTCCCCCGCGGACCCCCTCCCCAATCCCAACCCAATTAATAAATGGGGGCTCCCACTTTATGGCTCTGGGAGCAGGAACCAGAGCTACAAATGACCCCCAGGGAAGGACAGAAAAAGGCCTTCCAAGAAACAAGCTGGAGAATTGTGCATCCATAGGCACACGCTGCCACAGGCTAGTCATATCCCATTTTCAAAGCATTAAAGGGGAAGAAACTGGCAAAAAACTGTATTTTCTTTCCTAGATCTGGAGAGGGACAGCATTCTTGAAGTCTGTGGGAACACCCTAGCAATAAACTCTCTTTCACCCAGTTCTCCAACCTGAAAAGGGCAGGTGATCATCTGGGCACAGAGCACATGCTTCACTATTTTCTAGGAGCACCTCCCCCTCTTAGATTCTGAAATACTGAACAAAGACACATCCCATCAATTGGTTAATGAAGTATACTTCCTACTTCTTAAAAATAAAGCAGCTACCTTTTTCCAAGCTCCCATCATAGTCAATAGGATAAATATGTCGGGTCATCTCTCCTTTCACATCCAAACTATCATCAAGCCTTGCTAACTTCTATGGACCCCCTTCCTTTCTTCTCATTCTCCCAGTCACACTGTAGTGCAAGCCCTCAGATAAAAACCAAAATATCCTAGCAAACTTTCTTGCTTCCTTGACCCAGTACAGCTGTGAAAGTCCTCAACATCATAATCATCCCCATCATGCTTCTGCTTTCCGTTAATGCTTACCAAATCAAATCCAAATTCCTCATTCCAGCCGACAAGACTGCTCCTCCTAATATTCCCTCCCCTTACCACACTGAGTGATCCATTCAGACTTCTGCACACAACACACACAAACGTTCTTCTGTAAGTTTTCTTCGTCTGAACACCTTCTCTTCTGTTCCCCTGTCTTCACTACCTTCAAAGAATCTTTTCTGGTTAACTCCAGTTTTTAAAATTACTTCTTGACTATGGCTACTTCTGTACTAGGTTAGTATTTTATTTTACAGCCTGCATTCACATGCTGACTTATAAACATTGATTCCTTACTTCCCACTCAAGTGTAAGACTCATCTCACTAGATCCAGAAACCTCCTAAAAAAGTGAGACCCTCCCTTAATCTCCCCCAGAAGTTGTCCTATACTCCAGACAATGACTCAACTAATGACATTCCTGCTCCCCACTGAAGCAACCCTCATGGTAGAACTCTCAGGATAGCATATCAAAGAACTACGAGGAGTAGAATCTTATTCTCAATAGCAATGTCCTATCAACATTGAACTTGGCACTAAGTCTTTCCAAAATTATAAATTGTTTCATGACTTTAAAATGTGTTACAAAACAAAAACCCGAAAACAAGCATGGTCATCAAAGGCATTTGTTTATCTCCTTGATCCTTGGTATATAAACACTATTTTATTTGAAGACCCCTTAGGATGAGAAACCCCATTTTGTTCCCTATCTCTAAGATTAACCTATACTCTCAGGTCATGAGCTGATTTTCTAGAATGCAAATCAATTCCAGAGTCCACAGTAATCTTGTTCTCTACCAGTCCTGCCTCTAGCCTACCTCTGTGCATCATATTTTTGGAAGGTCTCCAGGAACAGAGAAGTTATTCATGAGTCTGAACTATTTAGTGAGTACTTCCCTAGATTAACCTCACTCTCAAACTCTCTTCACTTCCTATAGTTTAGCCGTATGTGGTTAAACAATAAAAAATGACCTGCCACTCCCCTTATCACCTACACATTGCTCAGAATAATAAGGATTTGTTTTTTACTCCTTCCATCCTTTAGCTTCAAGGTGCTTAAGGGTCAAGATAATAAAAGCAAAGCACTTAGCACAGTGCCTGACACATAGTTAGGTTTCCAACATTACTTCCTATTCCCTCCCTCCTTCCTCCCAAAACCACAGGTTCTCAACCTTTCTAGGCCTGTTTGTTCACTGGCTGAAGACAGCATTGAGCTAGACAAACTAATGTCCTTTTGTAGTTCTAGCATTCTGTGAGTCTAATTAACATATTCTGTTTTGTTTACTCTTCTAGGCACTGCCTTCACTTGGATCTAAAAACAAAGGAGAGAGGAATAATGCTATTTTCCAGGTTGACCTAAAATATATAAAACTACTTTCAGGGGAATTTTAAAACTCCAAAAATACAAATAACTTTTTAACATGATACATCTGAATCATTCCTTATTTTCAAATTATTCTCTTGAACTATGTGGATAGCAGAGGGAAGCAAAATTTTCCTAAATATTTGCTTAATATAATCAAGCTTCCCTAGTGAAAATGTCTTCAAAGCATCTCCCAACCTAAGAGTTCTAGGCCCATCTTCCAACCATACAGGTAACACTACTGTAATCAATGGGAACTCTTTACTGACAGTGGTGCTTTAATGGGCCTACCTGAAATGAACTTGAACCTTTAAGGCACTTATCCTTCTCACTAGCCCAACCACAAATTTTCCTTCCATCCCACATTCCTATCTCTTCTTTAAAAGCAATTATACCCTAAGTCTCTTTCTGCAGCTACCAGCCTGCTCCAGTTCTCCTTCTTTGCCTTCTTTCCATCTCCTTCTCATATTGCTTCATTTTATATGAGACCTTTGGTCCCCTAACATAAAATGCAAACACTGGTACAAGGCCAAACTCCGAAGTTCCTGAACTTATAAAAGGGATCATGTTCCTAAGCTTTCTCTAAGTCTTTGAATTTGGCTTTTCTCCAGGACCAAAAGCATTCAAAATTGCATTAGCTTTGTTGGGGAGGGTTGTCTACCTACAAGCTAACCTTCATCAAAGGTGTCCCTCATTTGGTACTGTAGATCTGAGACACAGGAGGGAAAGGGATCCTCTCCTTGAGACAGCCATCAGAATAGGCTCCTTAAAGGAAAAAATAAAAAAAAATACTAAGTAAAAACAGCCTCCAAGCCACAGGCTTTGCTTTTCACTTAGCTCTGATTGCTACCTTGTAGCCTTTGTAAGGTTTCTCCTTACCTCCCTCAAGAGATGGTTTAGCTTGGATAAAATGCCCTTCATTCCTTTGGAACTATTAACAACCATGCCAGAGGAAAACATCTAAAAATCTGTTTCCAGGTCCTAGGAAACCTATGTCTAAGTGAACATACTTTATGGCTATACTCTCTTATTCTAGAGAAGTATGCTGTGGCTATTGGCTACATATTAAGTTTCACTAACAACCACCCATCTAGAGAGTATTAAAGACTAACTTAATAGCCCCTTCTCTCAACCTTGAACCACTAATTTTTGAGGTATATATGAGAGCAACCCAGTGACCAAAGTGTTTTGGCATTCTAGTGATTAATCACCAGGGCCTCAAAGCAGTCCTCATCTGCTTTCTCATGGATAGCAGGGCCTTCTTCTCACCAAGCTTTACTTCCCACAGACACCATCTGCAACTGAGCTCAGAAATGTCATCACCAAAAGCACGTCTCAGGATATGAGGGAAGAGGATGAAGTGAAATGTTGAGGCTCCCTGCCCTTCCTAGACCAGTAATCTCTTTTATCCTGCACAACATAAATTAAAATCTCCTTAGCAATAAGAAAGTATGATTATTTTGCTTTCTCCTTCACCTCTCACTCAGTAATTTGAGGATCTGTAATAGAAACGCATCTTCTGAGTTGCCTCTCATCACCCTTCAAAACTATGAAGCAGCAGTAACTCTAAATACCTTGCAGGATTAAGCAATCAATACCTCTTGTAGGCTTACGGCATGGCATGCAAGTTGGGTAGTGAGTGAAAAATAGGAAACGAAAAGAAGTTGGGTGGACAGGAGAGATGGAGAAACGGCTGCATATGGGGAGGAGTGGTAGAGTCCCCCCCCAGCAATCCCTTCAGGTGTCATACTTCCCCCAAAGTCTCTCAAACCTAGTTTGGAGTATTCACTTGAGTATTCCTAGGGCTATAAGGAACACTAAAATTATCCCTATGGATGAGAAATGCCATACCCGGACAGTAAAATTAACCAAGTGTCCAGAAATGCTCACCTTGCCTCTCAGGACAACCAGAAGATTTAGCAGTGCCACCCCTCCCTTGGAACGGTTGAGCATTTAGTCACTTGAGGAACTCACTTCCATTCCACCTAGCCCTTCAGGATGACTAAGTTGTGAACAGAGAAGTAACTCCATACTGAAACACAAACTATGGGGCAATCTTTAATAACAAAGGAAATCCCAGTTCAGCACCAAAAACATTAACTGTTAACTTCCTTAAGGCATTAACTTTACCATACAGTTAAGGATACCTGTCTGGGAAAAGATAGTGCTTAAGAAATCTAGATACTGAAACAGCATGATTTCTAACTAGAAATTGCCTTGGTCGTGATAGAAAAAAAGTCCAAGTTAGTTAGGTCCTCAGCCTTTAGGCCTAGAATTAAAAAGAGCCACTGCTATAAAGTGGAAACAATATTCCCTAGTAGGTTGAAGTTCACACTCCCAGTCATGAATCTGCAATATATAAAGACCAAAAACAAATTCCTTTTTCTCTGGAGGCTAACCAGGAACACAGGATTCCAGGAATTGGAACAATCTTGAGCTCTCCATTCTCCTTCTGGGTAAAGACAGGACAGCCCACAGGCAAGGGAACATCATAAACTTTGGGGATTCAAAAACAGGCTGGCCACCCTCATCACCAGTATTTGAATTCCTCTTCCTAATTTCCTTGTTCTGGTGTACCCTTTAACCTTGTATGATTGCTCACCCCAATATCCTCCCCCCCTTCTTTTCTGTCTTCTAATGGGCTTTACCTGCTTTTATCTACTTATGTCATGACTAGCAGGACTGCAGCACACACAAGGGAAAATTTAGTTCTTAGTGTCCTAAACCGTGAAAGAGAAGGGAAAGCAATTCTGTTCTCAGGTGGAGATAGGAAAGATTTTGGAGATAATAGAATTTTACCCTTATAAACAACTTTGACTCGTTTCCTGGATTGGCAACACATCAGGAATCTCAACGGAGCTAGGAACACTAATCTCCATGCCTACCCTACTCATGGTAACATAGGAACTGGTTGGGGTGGTTATGGTTTTAAGAGATTATTCTTTGGTCTAAACAGCCTCTTACCAACTTCCATTGACAAGTTGAGCTCAAACCCATTACCTCTCCTTTCAGGAGGAGCCACGGGTACACAAGACTCAACTCTTTTGATGGCCTGGCACCATCATTTGTGTAACTATTTCTACTTAAAAAAAAAAAAAATCACATCTTAGTTTTCCCCAACTTTTTTTCTTCTCTAATTCCTAGTCTAGTGTTTTGAAGCACCTCTTCAAACCCTGAGAACCTTTTTTTTTTTTTTTTTTTTTTGTATTTTATGAGACTACAGAGATTCTGAGACAAAGCACTCCTAAGATAAAGTAAAGGAAAAAGCTCTTTGTACACAATTAGATCTGCTCAGAGGCTACAGGTTAAGAAGTAAATGCAATGGAGCAAAAGTGGTATAGTAACAGGAAATATTTAATTTTCCAATCTCCACTTTCCATTTTTATAAACTGAAAGAAAAAAATTTAATATATTACAAAATATCTGTACATAGACAAGATACACCCGATGTGGGGCAAAAACAAGAGAGAGAAGGAATACAGTGTCAGGAACCTAAATCAGGGAGAATGAGGTGGCAACTGACACTTTTCTGGTGCAGCATTCTCTCTCAAAACCTGCTGGTAACCATTTTAGTACTGTAACTATATATGCATATTACACACACACACACACACACACACACACACACACACACACACACACACTGGCTGGGTGATGTCTATGGCATAAGCTAACAAAAAAAAATCCTACTTACAAATTTGTGCTACTGCCCTGCTTTCAAATGTATAGATTTGATGTCATTTTCCAATCCTTATCATCCCTATGGACAGTTGAAAAAAAACTAAGGAAACTGGGTCAAGCAAATTTGTTTTCAAAACTACAAAAATGATCATGGTCAAACCAGTTTTGCTCTCAATCATGAACAGAATCAGATTTCTCATCTGTTCAAAATAATGTATTTAATAGACTTATTATCTCCCATGGTACAATTAAAACAAAACAAAAACCACTTTTGAGTATAATTGGGTTTGTAAATTTCTAACAGTCAAGTTGAAATTCTGCCAAAACTTTACTTCTATCACATTTATAGGTAACATAGCTGAAAAATTAACAAATACCTTTTCTTTCTCCACAGATTCCAGGATATTTGAGTTTCTTTTTTCCTCTGCCTTTAGAAATAGTCAAAATTACCAAACTTTTTTCATTGTAAAGGCTAGACTCCCCAAATGGGGATAGGAGGTGAGATGGGATCATACATACACATACACACATCCATACATACACTCACCCCTTTCCCTAGTAGTAGGGATGGGGGAAGGGAGACTTAAGTATATTATTTAGAATATTTGGCATAATTAAAAATAAGGGGTGGGAAGGGGGGGGAGGAAAAACATTATTAATGATTGCTGATAACCAAAATATAATTAAAATATAGAGAGAATTTTATTCATATTTGATGGGAGATCAATTATTTTCACTATGAATAGATACTTTTGAAAGTATCACAGGCTTAAGTTCTTTAATCAAAAATGGGAGTGGGGCCCAATGCCTCAAATTCAAATATTCTAAAATACAAAGGCCCATGTCTGAGGACTAAGAAGTCAACAGACAAAATGTTCAGATGAACTTTAATGGAATTTTCCAATAGCATGTCAGTGAGCCTAGCAAATCTAATTGGACACACTGGTATAAAAAGCCATCAATGCCAAAATGGCTAGAAGGTTCTTTTTCTAATCAATGTTTGCCCCTGAGGGCAAGGCCAGACCAAAACCCAGAGAATAATAAAGAAATACACACACCGGATATCTACCTATTTCAGTAACAGGGGAAAATAGTCTTCATGTAAGTATCTGAAGAGGGTTCTTCTTTCATTTCTTTATAAAGTTTTTTTTTTTTTTTTATTAGTGCACCTTTCTCTTACAAGTAGTTTTTATTTTTTAATATAAGAACTTGGCATTGAAACACAAAACTTCACTTGAGTTCTGAAAACTATTCTCAAAGATGCTGAAGCATGTTTGCCTTTTCTTTGTAAAGGGGCCCTAATCTATGTTTCACAAAGGCCTAAGTCTGTGCAGAGAATTTATATGAATGTGTAGGTTTTTAAAACACCTTATATGCTGGTATTCACATAGAAATGGAAGCCAGAATGAGAAGCCTCCCAAGTTATCCCACCCTGAAAGCCTTTCCATTTTCCATTTCCTGTTTATAATAAGGCAAAATTCTTGCCATGAAGTCATTTACCCCTTTTACCAAAAATAAAACCAAAATCAAATCTCTCCAGAGGAAACTCCCTAAAAGAATTGGCAGGATATACATGCTGAGATGTGTATATGTCAATACTGTTCTTTCTCATGGTCTGCTCTTTTAAAATTATTTTTTAAAAAAGGTCTCAGATATTGATAGATCTTCAGAAAAATATCCACCCTAAACTAAGTTACATTTCCATGTATTTCCATGTATATTCCATGTATTTCTTTTGACAATATTACAATGCTCTGTTTCAAAGGTTTTGTTTTGTTTTTTGTTTTTTTGACAAAAATATATGTGTAAACAGTATGGTAACTGCTCTTACTAGCCCTCTAGGTATGGAGGCATCATCTCTAACCCCAGCTCAGCAGCAAGTCCTAGGCTGTCTGCATTTATAAATCAACTTCACCATCAGAACGTGGTTTAAAAAAAAAAAAACATTTTAGAATTGAAAAGTTACAGAGAACATATAGGAGTTTGAATTTCCTTTCGTTTATTTCAAAAAAAAAAAGTAAAGAATTATCCCAGGTTCTTGGGCATCTCAACGATTAATTTTTTTCCAAACAAATGCCTCAAAAAGAGAAAAAGACAGAGAGAGAGAGAGAGAGAGAGACAGAGAAAGAGAGAGAGAGAATGAGAAACTCTTTAAAGATGTGGTAAAAAAGGGAAGAGATGGGGTAAATCTACCTACATGCCCAAGAATGCCTCTTTCTACAACCTGCGTCCTGTGCAGGGAGAGGGGCATGTCTTTTTGTCAAAGCAGAACTAACTTCACGGATGAGTAATTTATTTGGAAAAAAGGTATGTTCAAGATGCTCAATGGGGAAAAAAGTTCACTTGAAAGCAAAAATGTGAGATGGTGGAGAGGAAGGAAACATTTATTTAAATCAGCCAGTCACTCTGTTTCCCTTATCGCAAAAGCCTAAGAATATCTCAAATTTTGTGAACACTATTATCTTTAAATGAAAACAAAACGGAAAAAAAAAAAAGCAAAAAACAAAAAATAAAAAAAATTCAAAAGGAATCATAAAAAAAATCCCCAAATTTAAAAAAAACCTAAAGAGAGCCTCTCCTGAGCCATCTCAAAATTGAAACTGTTCTCCTTTTCTTCTGCTCAAGAAGTGCAGGCAAATGAACTAATAAAACATTTACTTTTCAATTTAATGACCCTCTCCACATTCTCTACTTATTATCTACTAGGTAGAGTTGAACTGTTCTGGCTGTAGCCCATCCAGGGGGAACTGGTGCCAACATCATTTTATAAGTCGCCTGCTAGTAGCAAGTGAGCAAGGAATACAACAGACAGCTTTGCGGTAGCCAAATGCAGATGATTACCTCGCTCTGGCAAATGATTTCATTAATGTTTCAGAGGACTGGATGGAAGGATGAATAGGGAAGGAATCTTTCAGGACACTGAAGTCTCTGGGTTAGTAAGGAACTCCTCTCCCTCTTCCCCCTCTTGGCGGGACTCTTGTAGGTCCCCGATAGAGTTTTCCATAAGCAGAAGACTGAGCTGGGCCCCCCCAGTTTAGGCCTGTTCCTGAACTGCTGGCCCCAGTGGTTCCTGGCCCCAGCTCCCCATAGTTCTGCAATTTGGTCTCTGCATGTACCACAGAGTTGCTGCTTCCCTCAGCCTTCAGGAATGGTTGCCCGACCACTGAGTGTAATGCTAAGGGGACCCTGGCAAAACGGAGGTCCTGGTCCCCTGGGAACTGCACTGACCCTGTGCCCTGGTAACTGCTGGACTCCCCAAGGTGGCTCACAGAGCCTGAGAAGGTCCTGTTCTTCACCAGGGTCTGGGTCAAGGATTCTGTCAAAGCTGGACCAGAGTTGCGTTCATCAGTGTCAGTGGCACTGAACCCTGTTTCAGGCCCATCAGTGTTTCCGTAAGTCCTGTTGGGATGGGGTCGGGTGGAGTACTCCATTGGTCTCAAGGCCTGGTGCTCATGTGGCAGGTGGCCAGGAGGCTCTGCTTCAGGCTGGGATAAAAGTTGCAGCAAGGCGGCTGTCACGGCTGGGTTCAACTCCTGGGGGGCGCTGGAAAGATCGCCTTCAACCAGAGGGGGTGGAGGTGGCGGCGGTGGAGGTCCGGGGGGCTCAGGGGGCCTCTTCTCTGGTGGAAGAATGTGAGGAGGACATGCTGTGGAAGGGTTACTTCTTTTAAACACCATCTTAAAAATCACATGTGATTATAAACACAAACACACACACACATACACACACGCTGCCCAACATAAACAAATAGCAATACAAGTAACCAAATATATATAAAGAATAAAATCTTGGGATCAGGAAATTGCAATTTATAAATAAAATCAATTGGTTAAAATAAAACAGTTGCATTCTGAATCTAACAGCTGGTATAAAAAAGATCATATGTTTTCAAATGATTGTCCTGATTTTTGTCTGAGATTTCCTCCATTTCCTTCCTTAAGGAACTGTTCTAATATGTAGGCTGTAGGCAGCCTCCCCGCCCCTTTTTGCTGTTGGATCAAAACATTAATGAAAATAAAGTAGAAAGAAGGAAGATGAGAGGAAACAATACACATGCTGTGGTCACATTTCTAGCACAAAATCTTGCTGTACAACAGGAGACCTTGCATGGACTTAGCTAATGCATTTTACAGAACATTTGATGATATAAGGTTAACACCTGAAATAGAATTTAAAGAATATACAAGAGAGATGAAATAAAAACCTTTCATTACTGTCATGTATAAATATACACTTGCTTCTCCAAACTTCAGTCCCCTCTCCCCATAATCACATTCTGAAGAAAGGGATTAACCACCATTCTGTCATTCAGTTTCCTGTTACAATAATTATAAAGACTAAAGTAATCTATCATAATTTTCTATTTTGTTTTCCAACCTCCTGCATTTTTTCCATGCTATGAAAAAAATCACTACAGCAATGTCATGCAGAATGGGCTGCTGATAAACATGTTTATCTTGGAGACGGTGACAAAACTAAGTATTTAGAAATGTACTGAACTTATACTACACTATGTCTTTCCAAGGATCTTTTGTCTTTCTTGAACCACTCCCCACACACCCCCACCTGCTGGCTAAATTTGCCTAAGCATGGCAATCACTGTATGGTAACTACTGCCAAGGCAGGAGAGTAGGGATGTAAAACGGCGTGAGTTTGAGAACATACAAAACCAAGTACAATCAGAACAGTGCTTTTTAAGAGTTGGGAGTTACTCTGCTGAAGAAAAGGTTTCATGTTTTGGGATATCTTCCAAATGACTGATGTTTCTGTTCCCTATGGAACCATATTTTTAAATATCCATATAGTTAATTCTTTATTATCTGAGCTAGTGATATGAAAGTCATTACTCAGACAAGCCAAAATAATTTTTAGTTATAAAGTAGTTTGGTAGCATATTTACCACAATTATATTTTGCAAAGACAATCAGTAAAGTATGTATTTACTTAGCATGCAGATGAAAGCAGTCTGAAAACATAATATTATAACATTGTGTTGTGGAAGGATGAGGTCAGGTGCTATATGTAACATACAAGTGGGTGGCCAACAGTCCCAATTTGCCTGGGACTGAGTGGGTTTTCAGGTTGCCGACTTTCAGTTTTAAAACCAGGACGGAACGGAGATGAGTTGGACACCCTGTATACAGTACCCACCCAAGTTGCTTGTTGACAGATTGACTGGTTAACTAACATGCTGAAAAAGGAGAGCTAACTGGACTACAAACTCCTATAGATTTCAGAGTTTATTGCTGTCAATAGTATGTTTCTCACTACATAAGAATATCTCAGTACCAGTTATATTTAAATGTATTTTTGGACTATACATAAAATAAAACACTATGGTTATTTTTTTTTTTAAATATTGATGGCAAACAACTTTAAAAATGCCTAACTGTAAAAGTGATCAAAGCTAAACTTACTCTTTCAGCTATACTACTTTTCATATTTAAACTTTGCCTTTTAGTCTAGCTGTATTTCAATAGAACTACTTCTTGAGCTCAAATTCACACATATGAGAGGATGAGAACTATCTCAAAGTAGAAAAGCAGACAGACTGTAAATGACTATTGAAGTAAATAAAACTTCTTAAAGGAGTTAAAAGATCACATTTTAAAAATCACACTATTGTAAGATCTAGTGCAAACAATATTGCCAATTCTTAACAGTCTGTACTACTGGAGGGAGGTATTAAAGAAATGTACAAATATAACTTAAAATTTTCAATTGACTCATTAGATTTCAACCATAACCCTTTCCCCATACAAGTAAAGAGTAGCTAAAGTGATAGATTTTCACCTTCTCTGGCTTATTCAGTCTGCCCTCTGGTGGAAGTGCTAATGAATAATAAAATGGCCAAGTGTGAGGCAGCCGGGGAGCAACAAGAAGAGGAGACATAGAACTGGATAATCCAGGGGTGACTAATAATTAGGAGTGGTATTTTTACTCTTCCCTAAAAAGCAAATCCAACAATTTCTGGCCACAGGCCAGGTCTTAATTTTAGTTCAATCTCACCCTTGTTGGCTCAATTATTGGGTGAATTTCTTTCAATCACTATACTATTTAATTTGAATGACTTCTTTAACGCATTTTGATTATAGCTGAATTCTGCTGAGGTGGGGAAGAAGAAGAGGGTGTGGGAGATGAGACAAAGAGGCCTGCTTTAACTCTAGATTAGCTTTCTCTGTTATTCCATGTCCTAGAGTCTCTTAAAAGCAATTGGAATCAGTTATGACAGAGTAACAAAATGAATTAAAAAACACATTAAAAAGAAACATATTAAGAAAAGTACACAGGTTCTATTCTGCCTCTTCCAATAATATGGTTTCAGCTGAGACCATAGGCAGGCTTATTTAAACTCCCTGGATTGCAGTTTCCCTATTTGTAAAGTAAAGGGGTTAATTTTATTTATGTTACCTTCCAGTTTTAAAAAGACTTACATATGAAAAATAGCTTATGTATTTGTATACCAGTGAAAATAAGGCATATACTTTCTGCACCATCCTGTATGAAATGTGAATGTAGGACGACCTAAAGTTGAAGGTTAGTGTACCTCATCAGCCCTCGTGCCTCTTCTTATTCCCCAATTCATGGGGTCTTCATGGACAGCGAAAATATCCAAGGAGTTGAAAACACTTTCAGATAAGTAAACATTTTGCAAACCAGACTGTAAATCAGAATTAGAAAATTTAAACTTTTCTTTCCTCTAATAAAATTGCATGCTGTGGTCATGTCAGGTCAAGATATAACATATTTATTTCCTTTGTTCAGATTTTTCTTTATGTAATGCTCACTTCCTAATTTGCGGTCCATTCAATTGTCTTTCAGGAGCACAGATTTTTAAAAAGCATTTTTATATGCTATTATTTTTTGGAATGGAATGTGTGGTGTTACACTTATCTACCAAGATTTCCAAATTATTCTTCAGGAGATTAACAATGGCACTTTATTAGAGTTTTCTTGACTATATCTTTCAGGCAAGACTGGTATCCCGTATCCACTACACTAGAGTAAAATCGACTATCTGTGCAATCTGATGATGGTTTATTTGGAACGCAGATTTTCAAGTGCTAGTACTAGTTGGCCACTATTCACACAGTAGTTCAAGATGTATCACTAGCTATGATTGTGGTTTCTTTGAGTTAGAACACAGAAGCTTTACTTACCTACCTCCTAGAAAATGGAAAAACCATCAGTATATGGAAGGTGCTTTGAGAAGCTTTGAGACTTAAATAGAAGCTGGGCAAGAAATACATCATTGGGTGCTATGTTCTCCTGTAGACTAGGTTACAGAAAACTGAAACTGAGGCCATTGATGTGAAAAAGAAAATGTTAAAGAGATTTTTAAGAGGATCAACAGCACCTGAGCTCAATGAGATTCATGACCGGTCTGTTTACCTGCTGCCTCCTCCTGTGGCATTGTGGGAGTTCTTCGGGGCCCCTGTGGCCCACTGTTCTTGTCACTGTTGTTTTCCTCCAGGCTGCCTGCTGGCTCCTGGGTTTTCATCAGCTGACTCAAAAGAACTGCCAACATATTCTGCATGTCAGCTGGTGTGCTTGAAGCCTCAGAGGTTGTCTGTTCTGCTGAAGGCTGGACCACTAGGGCAGGAGGTGCCTCCTTCAAAGACTCCTCTGGGGCCATGGGCTCTGAGTCCTGCTGCTGGGAAGTGGCTTCCGTTAGGGCACTGATGGACTGGTTCAGGGCCTCCAGCTGCTGCTGCATCTCTGGGTTGGAGTGGATGTTAAGCAGCTGTGCCATTTGAGGGATGCTTAGGTCGGTTTGGCTCTGCAGCAGATTCAGTAACACTGCCAATTCACTTTGATTCAACTGCTGTGTGATGTCACCGAGGCCTGTGGAGGAGAGACAGTGGAGCCAAAATAAGAGGATGAGGCAGAGTAAGGACCTTTGCCTTCTTCAACTGGCAAGAGCAAATTACAATATTCAGTATATGAAGCTTCATTTTGAATGTCTCATTTTTCATGCCTCACATTGTCATGACAGTTTTTCTTTAGATTTTCACTGAAAAATACAGGAACAAACTAAAACATCCCAGTATTGTGAGTAAAAGTGATTTCATTTTATCTGTATTCTTCAATGTCAGTGACTTACAACCCTTATTGTACATTAGAATTACTAGGAGAGATTGTAAAGTTCAGGTGCTTCAGTTCCCATTCCCAGATATCTGGCAATTAATTGTTCAGGAGTGTTTATTTTTATCTTTTTTAATTTTTTTTAACGTTTTATTTATTTTTGAGACAGGGAGAGACAGAGCATGAACAGGGGAGGGTCAGAGAGAGGGAGACACAGAATCTGAAACAGGCTCCAGGCTCTGAGTTGTCAGCACAGAGCCCAACGTGGGGCTCGAACTCACAGACTGAGAGATCATGACCTGAGCTGAAGTCGGCCGCTTAACCAACTGAGCCACCCAGGCGCCCCAGGAGTGTTTATTTTTAAAGCTTCCTACATGATTCTAAAGTGCAGCCAGTGTTGAAAACCACTGTTGTAGGTGAACAGGCAAGGGCAAGTGAGTCTCAGAAAGAATACCTGTAGTTCAGAAAAATTGATGGTACCACAGAACTACTTTATTATTATAATAGTTCACTATTACACAGTTTTGGATATATTTAGATCAAATATGTTCCATAGATCAGTTCCATCTATGGAACTAACTACATTTAACGACAATTGTGGTTTAAATGATCAGATTCTGGGGCACCTAGGTGGCTCAGTCAGTTAAGTGTCCGACTTTGGCTCAGGTCACGAACTTGCGGTTTGTGAGTTGGAACCCCACGTCGGGCTCTGTGCTGATAGCTCAGAGCCTGGACCCTGCTTCGGATTCTGTGTCTCCCTCTCTCTGTTCCTCCCCCACCTCACATTCTCTCTCTCTCTTTCTCGAAAATAAAGATTAAATGATCAGATTCTAAGAAGGTCTTTTCAAATGAAACATAAACAGGGCTCCAAATTACATGTTAGAAAACCATGCGTAAATGAACCTTAAATTTGCTTTACCTAACTTACTGATCTAACTTTACCCAATTGACTTCTAATTGAGATATAGTATTCCCTCTTTCTGGAAAGAAAAATAATCCATTGTAGACTTTCTAAATCCCATATATAAACTTGGTTTATCTCCTCCCCATAATGATGGGACATTTCTTTATTGCTTCAGTGGCTAAAAACTCAGACAGACAGACAGACACACCCTTGCACTTGATCATCAAAACCTGACCAAGTGTCTTTAATAAAAATACAAAACTTCCATCCCAGAACTGACCTACTGCATCCCCAGTCCCAGGTTCCACCTTGCCAGGAGCAGGCTGAGGTGGTGCTGGACTGCTGTTCTTCACGGGCTCAGCACTAGTCCCTGAGGTAGTTTCTTTCCGTGAGGCTTTGGATGGAGGTGGCTCTTCTATCACAACACCACTTTGTCTCTGTCGTCGCCGTTTCTTACTCCACAATTCATGGCAATCCTGCCAGTGGGGGAGGCTGCAAAAGACAAAGCAAAGGGGAAATGTGTGTGGGACTAATGACAGTGAATGAATGGAGGAAGAAGAGATTAAAATAGGAAGGCAGGGGCGCCTGGGTGACTCAGTTGGTTAAGCGGCCGACTTCAGCTCAGGTCATGATCTCACAGTCCGTGAGTTTGAGCCTCGCGTCAGGCTCTGTGCTGATAGCTCAGAGCCTGGAGCCTGCTTTCGATTCTGTGTCTCCCTCTCTCTCTGCCCTTCCCCTGCTCATGCTCTGTCTCTCTCTGTCTCAAAAATAAATAACAACATTAAAAAAAAATTTTTAAATAGGAAGGCAAAGAGCTGAGGGAAATGGAAAGAATAACATAAAAATAACCAGAAATATTAGTAAACAGATAGTAGCAATGTAAAAGGAATCATGGCATATGGTAGTCTGAGGAAATAAAAGACCAACAGATTTCTACAGTGAGAAATGAGACTCTTGCTAATATCAGAGTCACACCTACTATATAAACAACTACATTCCAATCAAAGAGTTAAGTCTGATAACTGTTCTTGCTGTGCATAACAAGAATAAAGAAGAACTTTATTGGTCAAGTTTCAGTTTGGAATAGATAGGACAGAGATGACTAGCCTATTAATATCTATAAAAGTCCAGGCAAGGTGGTGAACCACTTAAGCAGTGTATAATTAAATCACCTTTGTGTAAAATCAATTTATGGGTTATTTGGTCTTTGAGGACCAAAAAATAGGTTCTTTCTTCTTTCTACCCATGGAATTTCCATGACTCAGTATTTTCATTTGTGGAGTTTATTAGTATATTTTAATATATTTAATATATTTTCACATTTCCTCATACTCAATAATGCAAACAGTCCCGGAAAGTAAAATCTTATTATAATAAAGACTACTAGAGCCAAAATCTCTCTATAATAAGAGCTCCCAAATTTTAGTAAAAAGCTTATGTATTTCAAGCCAAAATTCAACGTATCAAAATTCTAGTGCAGTAAATGAGTTTGGACATTTCTTTGGAACAATCAGATTTGTGGTTACTACCCGTTCGTCTTTAAATACTGTGTATTTAAGATACATAGTTTCTCTATGTAAGAAAAAAATACCCAAAAACTCTGACATGAAAACTATAATGCTGTCAGTCATACAATGTCACATTATTGGCCAAATGTGAAACATGAGAGTAAAACTTCAGAAGATCCTATAGAATACAGAAAATGCATAAGATTCTGATGAAAGAGAGACACGTTCAAAGATATTTTCAACATCAAATAATTCAGGACATATGACCCAATAGTAACAAGCTATTTAAAATTAGAACTGCCCTTGCCAAGTGTGGGATATACATGGTCACCACAGACATGGGGGATTCAAGCAAATGGAACAGGTAAGAGCAAAAACTAGAAGGAATACTTTAAAGAGGCTGTATGTACAGGGTAATAAATAGTTTGAGTCAAATTAGAACAAATATCGTATCTAAATGTATTCCTTGTTTAAAAACATTAAGCAATAAAACCTCTTATCAATCATAATACTCAAGGGCACCTCTCCATTTGGGACTCAGCCATTTGCAGTTCCTTCTAAAAACCTATTATTTTGAGCTACACATCTCCTAAGGTTTAGGGGGTTTAGGATCACTACTTGGCCACCAGCACTTACTCTGGAGGATCCATTTTGCTGAGCTCAACATCTTTAAGGAAGTCACTCTGTAGAGTCTGTTCAGCTGTGCAACGTTTGCTAGGATCTAGTGTCAGCATGTGGTCCAGTAAATCAAGTGCTGCCGAAGGAATGCTGTGGAAAGGAAGAAAGAACAAGTTCACAATGACCCCATAGTTCTTAAACCTATAACCTTAGGTCAAAGGTCTCTGAATTTCCACCTCCATGTAAAACTGTGGAAAAGGAACTAAAAGCTGGCAAAACAAGCAAGCAGATCTGCTCCCACAGAGGATTTATGCAATGCTATATAATACAAGTAAAAAACATGAAGCCAGCAGTTCCATTCTCTTTTTATTATGGGAATATCAAAAGGACTATGAGAAAATTTATATATTCCTCACAATAAAATGATTTATTTTTTCATCTAAAGCCTTCATAAGAGAAAATTACAACAAAACTATGATAAAATTCATATACTGTTAAAAAAAAAATGTTTTCCTATGGTGTGCTGCCATAAGTTGGGACAACACTAACTCCCTAAGCTAGGAAAGTCAAGTCTAAACTCCAGCCAAACACAGAAACCAGATGTACATTTTTGCCAAACTCACAAAGAGAATTCTTCTCGCAGACGCCTTCTATATTGCTTCTTCGGTTTCATGGTATTGAAGTAGGGCAGCTTGATAACATCAGGCCACACAGCTGGACAAGGGCTACCACAGAGTCGACTGAAAACAAAGCAAAAAGCCAAAACAAGAAGTAAATGAGTCAGCATTGTGAATTCTGGAGATTACAGAAGCAGAAATTATTACCTCCCGAGGTCTGGGGAATCTTAGCTTATTAAATTAGAGAGCATGCAGAAAGGTAAAACCTGACCTCACTGCTTTAAGGACAGAAGAAATAGGACAGAAAGAGCTGGTTACAAGATAATGAAGAGAAAATACTGGCAAAATAGTCCAAAATGATGCATATACTTGATTTTGTAAAACATGTTTTTAAACCTCCATAAAGGTTATCATTATCAATTATGTTCTGTTCAGTTAGTATTAATTTCAAAGTGCTGAGCTGGTCATATAATGTTCCTATAGGGAAAATTAGCAGAAGAGAGCCTAAAAATTTTGATAGAAAATTGAATTTAATGCACAATAATGAGTTATACACCACCTTTAAAGAAGTCTACATTAGCCTGTTGTATTCTTCTCTTTACTTATATTGATTACAACAACCCCAGTCCTTCCCCAAATCCTCTAGTTTAGGTTCTATTTTATAATTATCTGTTTACATGCTGTATCACTTACTAAACTTTGAGCTCTCTGAAAGCAGGGACCTATCTTACTTATCTCTAAACCTTAAAGTTTAACAAAAAAAGGAATTTGTTATGGAACAGGCTTAATAAATGTTTGCTGAATACAGCTCATCTTAATCTAACCTAAGAATAAAACAGCTACCTTGAAAATGACATGCTTTTATATGAAGAATAAAAAATATGCAAAGACCTAAAAAGTCTAAAAAGGGGGAACCTAAAAACTAAGACCCTTAGTAAGACCTAAAAAGGAGGAATATAATTTCTTTACATATATAGCCCATGATAAAATATGTGGTAAATCTGACTGAGAATATACTTGGATATATACTGACTTGAGAATACTTGGATATAAGCATAAAGTTAACTTTTAGTAGAATGACTGAAAAGTATTAGAAATTAGAGGATGAAATGACCTATCACACCTGGGCACTCAGAACACATGCACAGCTGTACCTGATCAGTTCTAGCTGAGCCAGTTCCAGATTGGCTTGAAAAATAGGCTTCTTTGTGAACAGTTCCCCAAGGATGCATCTAGAAAGAGTAAAATTGAAAGGTCAGGAGAGAAATCCCCGGAGCCTAAAGTGTGTCTCAAAAAATTTTTATAGTATATCTGGCAGAATTTGATATTACATGTTGTAAATAAGCCCCAAATTGCAGTGTCTGAATTTTGTAAAAGAAAATATTTCTTGGGGCGCCTGGGTGGCTCAGTCGGTTGAGCAGCCGACTTCAGCTCAGGTCATGATCTCGTGGTTCGTGAGTTCGAGCCCCGCGTCGGGCTCTGTGCTGACAGCTCAGAGCCTGGAGCCTGCTTCAGATTCTGTGTCTCCCTCTCTCTGCCCCTTCCCTGCTCATGCTCTGTCTCTCTCTGTCTCTCAAAGATGAATAAATGTTAAAAAATAAAATTAAATTTAAAAAAATTTAAAAAAAAAAGAAAATATTTCTTGTGGTGAGAATAGACAATATTAAGAATTTAAATTTGCCAGGCGATCAAACTTTTACCATCTATAAAGGACGGTCTACAAGCAAAGAAAATGAGTCAGAGTCCTTTTCTACCAATTCCATTGTAAATTAAGGAAATAAACACTAAAAAACCCACACTTCAATTTTACAAGGATGCTCAGCAGTTCCTATAAAGAGATTAGCTTTTTCCATTCATTTGCTCTGTAGAATGTGCAATATACTATAGCCCTCTTGGCACTGTACTTGTAAAGAAGCATTTATTGTCATCACCCAGAATCAGTTTCAATAGGACTTTCAAATACATTATGCTTAAATGCTTTTTCCATTTTGCAAATGCCTTCCAAAATAATACATATTTACAAAGTCCCCAGGTATGTCTCCACAAATTACTTAATTACAAAAGGAAATCTAGTAACTATTTAGTGGGAAAAAAAAGACAACACCTTAACTGAGTGAACAAAATTAACATCATCAATAAGAACGAAACAGGGTTCATTTAAGTATAAATGTGATACCTTGAAAAGAACACTTATGCAATATTCCAGCCAAAACTTCATAATATGAACCTATATAGTAGCTGGTCTGTCCTTCAAAATGTAAGTGTCGGAGCATCTTGGAGTCTCAGTCAGTTAAGCATCTGACTCCGGCTCAGGTCATGATCTTTCATTCGTGAATTTGAGCCCTGGACTGGGCTTTCTGCCCTCAGCATTGAGCCCACTTTGGATCCTCTGTCTCCTTCTCTCTCTGCCCCTCCCCCACTCATGTTCTCTCCCTGTCTCAAAAATAAATAAACATTAAATAAATAAATAAACAAACATTTAAAAAATATATCGAATCTCAAGTTGGTTAAACGTCCAACTTTGACTCAGGTCATGATCTCAGTTTGTGGGTTTGAGCCCCACATCAGGCTCTGTGCCCCCCCCCCTCAAAAAATAAATAAAACATTTAAAAAATTTTATGTATATACATGAAAGACAAAGGTTAAGGAACTATTTCAGAGTAAAGAATGAGAACTAAATGTAATACATGATACTGGATCAAATCCTTTATCAGGTGAGGTATTGTTTCCAGGATGTTATTAGGGTACTGAAAAAGTAAGAACATGGAATGTAAGCTAAACTACTTTAAAATATAGTGTATCATTGTTAAATTTCCTGAATTTGATAATGCTACTCTGATTTTATATAAGAATATCTTTGTTCTTAAGAAATGTACATTAAAGGGGAGCCTGGGTGGCTCAGTCAGTTAAGCATCCGACTTCAGCTCAGGTCATGATCTCACAGTTCGTGAGTTCAAGCCCCACATTGGGCTCTATGCTGACAGCTCAGAGCCTGGAGCCTGCTTCAGACTCTATGTCTACCTCTCTGTCCCTCTCCGCACATGCTCTCTCTCTCAAAAATGAATACGCATTAAAAAAAAAAAAGAAATGTACATTAAATATTAAATGGTAAGGAGGATGTCATGTACAACTACTTTCAATAGTTCTGGAAAAAAGATGTGTGCATATACACAATTTTATTCTATTTATATACTTTATGTTGTATGATATAAATACACATACATAAACATATGAATATAAAAAGCAAATGTGGCAAGATGCTAAATTTTAGTGAATCTAACATGAATAAATCTCAAAATAATTATGCTGAGTAAAAGATGCAAAAGGGAAAAAAGAATGAACATATACTGTATGATTCCATTTGTATAAAATTCCAGAAATGGAAATCAATTTATAGTGATAGAAAGCAGAACAGTTGTTGCCTAGGATAGTGTGGGACAGAAGAGAGAGATTACAAAGGAACACATGGAAACTTTTGTCTTGGTTGTGGTGATGGTTTCACTAGTGTATACAATATGTCAAAACTTCAATTGTACATTTTAAACATATGCAGCTTATTGCATACCTCAATTGAAAGATTAAAAAATTTTAATGAATATGGATAAAAGCTATACTAACGTTCTTTGTCCTTTTTAGTAACTCTTGTATATTTGAAATTATATCAAAATAAATCTATTTATTTAATTTAGTTAGTTAGTTTTAATTTTAATTCCAGTTAGTTAACATACAGTGTTATTATATTAGTTTCTGGTGTACAATATAGTAATTCAACAGTTCCATACATCACCCAGTGCTTATCACAAGTGCACTCCTTAATTTCAATCACCTATTTAACCCATCCCCCCATATCAAGATAAATTTAAAACAAATGTAAAAAATTACATGACTACTCTGTACTTTTTTGTATGCCTAAAATATTTTGTTTTTTGAAAAGTAAGAAAACAAATGGACAAAGAATCTCTTCTCTGGCCTATGCTTTGAAATTAGATTTGCTAATACAAAAGCAGTATTTATAGTTTTACTTTGAAATTCTTTAGCTTGACTAAATTTGAGAAGCAAAACAAAGCTAGTTTTTAAAGTTATTAGCACCTTTCTATTAGCATTTGTTAACCTCAAATGACAAATTCTCACTTCCATATTCACTCAAATCTTATCCAGAAATAGAAAAGTAAAAGTCAAGTTTAATTCTGTTTCCAACATAAACTGCTAAATCAAATTCCAAATACAGTGTTGTCACAACTGATAAAATAAGCAGAAAGAAAAACAAACCAACCAACCCAGGTGGGTTTTCAGAATCTAGACATAATTCGTTGTACCAGTCTTTCTAGTTTCTCCTTCAGAGAGAATTCCACGCACCAAAGTAGCAAGCTCACATCAAGAGTCTAGCAAAATCTCAATTCAATGAAGTTACTGGGCTTTATTTAAAGCCTAATCTTCTATAATTTTAATTTCCAAGTTGTGTTTTGGTGTTTTATTTCAGTTCTAGTTCTTTGGTGGGGAAGATATTATTATGTAATCAATACTTTGCTACTACACTGAGGTGGCAGGTTGCACACACTGAAATAATAGTACCAACAGAGCTATGAACTTTCCCTGTGTATCTTAATGGGGCGTTAACTTTAGAGCCTAGTTGTGACAATTTAAATGCTAATACTGTTAAAGCAAATAGTCCAGAACACAAACATACCCAGCTTGAATCAGTAAAATTTAACTAAAGCTTCATTTCAATTGGGGAGGCTACCAATGAAATTATGCTCTCCTTTTCTTTGACCCTTTTGAATTTTGAAATAAAACCCCTGCAGTTTTAAAGACTAACATTAATAGAGGAGGGAATGAATGGGAAAAAGTGATAAGCTCCACTGGCAAGTATATGTCAGAATCCTAAGGTATGCAGGTCAAGGACAGAGTGTGTATGCATAAATCATACAGTATCAGAAACAACGAACATGGCCCATTTAAAATGTCTATGTTCCTAATACACAGACTATCGTCTCTAAGTATTATTTTCCACTAAAAGGAATGGCTGATTTCAGGTCTAGGGCAGGAAATGAATAGGATGAGCCTGGAACCAGCAAACAAGGAAGGCTATCAAACACTACAGTTGTGTGGAAAGGACCCACTAAACTCCCTCCCACTGGTCAAAGATTGAAAAATGTGAATAGGAATAAGATGATAACCGTAACGGATTAAAACATATAAAACATGTTTAAATCCATGAGTTCATAATGAAACTAAAAAAACAGAAACAAACAAAAAAACCCACCCCAAACCCTCTCTTTGGTCATCTTTGAAGGATACTAGGAAACTACCTCATTACACTGAAAACTGGTGAGTAAAACGAGAGAATTAAAGCTTTATATCTAACTTTTTCTATGTGGCTCGTACCTAGGGTTAGTAAAGTAAATGTTATCTTTATTCCAGGAAGGAATAATATAATTAGAATATCACCATCACAAACAATCACAAATGAATAAATGAAGGTGGATCATTAATAGCTGACATTTCAAAAAGAGATTGTATATTATGTAAAGTGGGGCATGTGTGTGTGTGCGTGCGTGCATGTGTATGTGTAAATCTGCCCTGTTAGGGATGAATATTTTATCAAGCATTGTTTAGAATTGCCTGTATAATATGATAATAAAAGCAAACTATTGTTTTATTGCTTTTAACTTGTCTACAGATAACATACCTAGTTCTTGACTATACTCTGGGCAGAGGCTCCTATTGCCACCTACCCCCAACTTTGATGTATCATTAACTATAAACTTCCAGAGGTACTCAAAACCACCTGTGAAGTAATTTCAGGGTCAGTGGATAATTGGAAATCAAACATAAATTCACCTACAATTTACAGGAAATAAAAGGGATAGAAAACCATGCTAAAACAACAAAAAACACAGTGAAGATGCAATCAACAAAATTCAGACTGTGGGAACAGACAAAAATGACATAGTTTCTACTAAGGAAATTACTGGGGGTGGGGGGAGGGTGGCGGGGACCTCAAGAGAAATGGAAGGAGAAGCTACAATTAAAAGACTTGAGATAATCAACTGCAATCTATGGACTTTATTTGAATGTATTTGGATCTGAATTCAAATGATGTTAAAAAAAAAAAAAAGACGTTTTGAGGAAATGTTTTAAAAAACGTGTCTCAGGGCACCTGGGTAGCTCAGCTGGTTAAGCATCCGACTTTGGCTCAGGTCCTGATCTCAGTTTGTGGGTTCAAGCCCCGTGATGGGCTCTGTGCTGACAGCTCAGAGCCTGGAGCGTGCTTCAGATTCTGTGTGTCTCTGTCTCTCTGCCCCTCCCCTGCTTGCTCCCTTTCTCCCTCCCCCTCTCTCTCAAAAATAAATAAATAAAAATTAAGAAAAAAACAAAACAAAAACATGTTGTCTCCAAAAATAAATGATTATCTAAATAAAAATTTAAAGAAGATTAGGAAACATTCAACAGATTTCCCTGAATTCTATCTAAAAGTTTATACCCATCCTTTCAAACTTAAAGAAAAGCTACAAAAGCCAATGTAGAGAGAAAACAGATACCAGTTCAATAATACATAAATTATAAACAAAAGAAAAAGCACAGAGGCTTACCCACAGCTCCAAACATCAATAGCTGGTGTGTAACGCTCCTCTCCCAGCAGAAGTTCTGGAGGTCGATACCACAGGGTGATGACTTTGTTTGTATAAGGGCGACTGAAATGTAAAAAGTAACCATGACATAAACTTACAACGGCTTCTGATGAAAAAATACTTATAAAATTAAATGCAAAGAGGAATAGCTGCCAATTGAAAATGGGATTGTCAAAACAGCTCCCTAACAATCTAATAGTTCAAAAGTAAACTGGAGGAGTAAGAGATGAAAAAATAACTTCCATTCTAATTTGGGTTGATTTATTTCAGTCTGAGGCTGATTCAAGAATTTAGACAGAATCTACTATCTAAAATCTAGGTGGTAACATATTTAGAAAATTAGGGAATTCTGAAAGTTACTGCAACTTGCAATGATGAATGCCTCACCTCTCTTCAGAGTTATAGAGTCGAGCAAGTCCAAAATCTGCTAGTTTGATTTGTCCACTGTAAAACAAAAAAACAATTTATTTTTATAAGTAACAGTAGTGGCTTCCTAATTAAATCTAAACAGTCAAGCACAAGTTTAGGAGTTAAAGGAATTTTAACATCTGCTATCTTAGTTCTACTCTTAATGGTCACACATCCAGATTAAACCTCTTTTGACTACCCCAGTTTACAAATACTTAAGGTTTTCTTTAAAAAAAATTTTTTTTAATGTTTATTTTTGACAGAGAAAGAGAGAGAGAGAGAGAGAGAGAGAGAGAGAGAGAGAGAGAGAAACAGAGCATGAGTGGGGGAGGGGCAGAGAGAGAGGGAGACACAGAATCCGAAGCAGGCTCCAGGCTCTGAGCTGTCAGCACAGAGCCCGACGCAGGGCTCGAACCCACAGACCGCGAGATCATGACCTGAGCCGAAGTCCGATGCTCAACCAACTGAGCCACCCAGGCTCCCCTAAGGTTTTCTTTTTAGACTACTACCGTATTTTTGGATTTGACTCCTTAACTAAATATTCCTTTTATTTCTTGGCAAACAACAGTTGCTAAAACCTGCTAGGTTAGGGGCATGTGGGTGGCTCAGTCCATTAAGCATCCAACTTTGGCTCAGTCATGATCTCACAGTTCATGAATTCGAGCCCCACCTCAGGTTCTGTGCTGACAGTGTGCAGCCTGTTTCATATTCTCTCTCTTGCTCTCTCTCTGCACCCTCCACTTGTGCTCTCTCTCAAAATAAACAAACAAAAAAAAACCCTGCTAGATTAAATACTTGTTGGGGAAAGAAGGAATGAGCTGTTCTAACTTAATGATAAACCTTGATCAATTCTGGCTTGAAGACACTAGCTATACAAAACACATTACAGGGGCACCTGGGTGGCTCAGTCGGTTGAGCGTTCAACTCTTGATTTCAGCTCAGGTCATGATCTCACGGTTCGTGAGATTGTTTTGTGAGACTGAATGCCAGGTCGGGCTCTGTGCTGATGGCATGAACCCTGCTTGGGATTCTCTCTCTCCCCCTCTCTCTCTGCCCCTCCTTGATGCAGGGCTCAATCCCACAAACCATGAGATCATGACCTGAGCAGAAAGTAAAAGTTGGCCACTCAACCAACTGAGCCCCCCAGGTGCCCCTAACAGATTTTTTCAAACCAGGAACATGGCTTTGATCTGAGCACACAATTTTTATGATGAATGAGGTCTCTTTTACCAACATATTGCCATCATTTCCTGTATCATAAAGATAAATAACTATGATCTTATAGGGGTTCTCAAACTTTCATATGAAATAAGAATCACATGGAAAGCTTATTAAAAGTTTCCTGGGATGTCTGGCTCAGTCAGTTGAGCATCCAACTTTGGCTCAGGTCATGATCTCATAGTTTGTGAGTTTGGGCCCCACCTCAGACTTGCTGCTGTCAGTGCAGAGCCACCTTTGGATCCTGTCCCCTTCTCTCTCTGCCCTTCCCCCACTCGTGCTTGCTCACTCTCCCTCTCAAAAATAAATAAATATTTTTTAAAAAAAAAGTTTCCTGGGCCTCATTCCCAGAGATGCCGACTCAGCAGGTCATAGCTCATGAACTCACATTTCTAACAAGCCCATAGATGATGCCAATGCATCTATGGGTCTGAGAACCACACTTTTGAGAACCATCCCATAAAAGGCTCACACCCATGTTTCACTCTGCTAAATATTCTTTGATAGTGATGTTAAGTAATATTTTAATAAACTATAACACAAAATGTCAGAAAACTTAAAATTCTTAACTATTTTGGATTAATCATATTTACCTAAATTCTTGTATAGCCTATTTATTCACATTTACCACTTGTGTTCCTTCTTGGGGAATGTAAGCCAGCTCACTCTTTTTTTTAAGGTACTGGAGATACCTCAGGTACCTGACAGCTGAGATCAGGCATTCAAGTGAGATAGAAAAAAGAGGCTATGGCAGGAGGTGCTCCTCAAAGTTAAAACCAAGTAACTACTAGCAACAAAATTTTACATTACAGAAACCCTTATCATTCCTGGTAAAGATTATTGGCACCGTATCCACTTGCCCCAAACATCATTACATTTTTAAGTTGAAATGAATAAAAAGCAAAAAGGAAAGGACTAGCTGACTTGAGCCCTATATTGAGACAAAAAGAGTTCCTCAAATTTCTCAGCATCCTCACTCTTGAGAACCTGAGATGATCCAAGACTGAAGCACAGTGAAGTGAAGCACACTCTTTAAAATGGACTATAGGAAGCACATAGGACTATAAAATGACAGCAAACAGTTATGCAAGTTAGGCTAAATCTAAACGTCACTGAGAACCTAGCATATTTCCTAATCTATCCCCTCCCCTCTCAGTAAATGACCTTCTTCACTGAAAACAAAAATCATCAGGTAGGAGCTACTTAACATCCTTTTACCTGTATAACCTTAATTGCATCTATAGCTCTCCTTTTTCTTTCCTTTCAGTTACAGAAAAAAATGTGTCAATCTCTCTTGTTGAAGGATAATCAACACTTATACTTGTGACCACTATCACCTGTGACCTTGATTTCATTTCTTCTAGAACCTTGTTCCTTTAAGTTATTTTAGTTTTTTCTTGAATCTTCAACTTCTCCCTATTGATTTTTTTCTCTTAGTATTTATATATGCTCAAACCTCTGCATCCTTAAATTAAAAATTAAAGACCTTCCTACCAGCACCTTCCCACTAACTGTGCTACCCACCAATTTGCCCCACAATGTCAATGCTGACCTTTTAATTTTCAGATTCCTTCTTATGTCTTATAATCTGTCTGCATCACCTGACATCTATGACTATTCACTTCTTAAACCTGTCTAATTTACATTCATAATATTTCCTTATTTCCTTCATATCTGACCATTCCCTTAGGTTCCATCTTCTGACACCTTTTCTCTGCTTGCTAACTCCTGAACTACATTGCTAGTTTGGAACTTCAATGTGACCATATGCCTATTAGTCAGATATCACTATCCTAGATGTGCAACAGCCATATCCAAACGGGATTTACTCTTCACTCATCTATCCTGCTCTTCCTTCTATATTCCCTATATTGACCATTATACCACTCATCGAGTTAGTTTCTTAAGGTAGAAGTCTGGGAGTTAAAGTACTTTCATTCATTCTCCAACATTTGTTCACTCACCAAAATCTACTCATTCACAAAATTTATCCTGTCCATCTCTATTAGCAAGGAATTGGTTAGTTTAAGCACTGACCATTTCTTATGGTGTTTTTAATAGGTGTTCTTTTTATAATGTTCTCCCTACCTCCAGTCTATATATACCCTATTAGAGTGACCATTTAGTGTTTCTTCTAAAAGAGAAGACTAATTGTGTCTCTCTACCATCTAAAATAAGTTGGTCTCATTTATACTTGTGTAATAAAGATATAATGAACACCATGGAGCCCAAGTGCTCTCCTCTCTCTCTTATCAATTGCTCTTGCTTCCTTGTCCAGCTGAGGGCTCCTTACCATTTTCTCCAGGCCATCTCACCCAGAATTCTTTGTGTAGACAGAGCTAAATGGGCAAGATTAGAGGCTGGATGGATCAGATTAGACCATGAGACTCCTGCATCCTGCTTAGTAACCTCGGGAGGAAATTCAGTTTAATCTAGAACCTTATCAGCTTCCTGAATATAAGAAGACAGGGAGGGGCTTAACCCACTAGAAAGGACACCAAGTAGGACTGCAGTCATTCCCTGGCCTGAGACATCCCTCCCCACCATGGAAGAACAAATCGAACAAAAAAAAGTATATGCTATAGTCCAGATAGCTATAAGCTAATAGTCATCATCATTAAATTCTTGAAGCATTATCACTATGGATGTAGATTAACCAAGCCCAGTTTTAATGAAAATTATGGGTCACAGAGATAGTGACAGAAAGGAATACTCTTTTTAACATGATGTTTTGTCTCAAAAGGTATTTAAGTACAAAATATATAAAATAAATATATACATCATATAAAATAATTTAAAATATGCACTAACTGTATAACTTAAAAAAAATAGCCAACCAAATTAACTGTATAACCACACCAGCACCATTCAATCATTGTCACCTATAGACAGTATAAACTCCTCAGCAAGATATACAAGATCCTTAAATTCGCTCCTTACAACTGTCCGGCTTCATCTCCCCATTATGAGCTTCACTCTTCTTGCCCTAGCAATACCTACCTGTTTACATTTTCCCACATATAACATGTTATTTTCACATTTATGTGCTTTTGCCCATGCAATTTCTTTTGCTTAGAAATTTAATCCTCTGTTGTTAGACTTTCTGATAAATTCCTATCCATTCCTCAAGATTCCACCTTCCCAGATGCTCCCAAATTCAAGGGGTTTAGAGGGGCCTGGCTGCTTCAGCTGATAGAGCATTTGACTCTTCATCTTGGGGTTGTGAGCTCAAGCCTCACAGTGGGTGTAGACATTATGTAAAAAAGGCAGGGGGGCTTAGTAACTGTTTACTGGATTGAGCAATTTATTTGTTTAGCTCCCCTATAAACTCTGAGCTTTCCAGTGACCAACTATCCCATATGGGACTTTCGATGCTAAAACCAGGACAGGGGTACCTGGCTAGCTCAGCTGGTGGAGCATGCAACTCTTGATCTCAGTGTTGTGGGTCTGAGCCCCACAATGGGTGTAGAAATTACTTAAAAATAAAAAACTTTAAAGAAAAAAAACAAAAATAAAAAATAAAACTAGAACAGTCCCTGGGCAACTCTGGATGGTTGGTCACCTCACTTCACAAAGATGTGAAATAGGTCATATCACTCTAATCTCTATCTAATTTTTGCCAAATATAATTAAATAGAAATGTTTAAAAGAGTGGGTGAATCACGCAAAGATAGCTATAAACAGCCCAAATGCCAAAAGAACCAAACACTGGTATGATTTCAATAGTATCAGATTTGCTTTTTATTCCTCAACTGGTAGGGCTATTTACCAAAGACTAATGTGCATAATACATACACCTGATATCATCAATATAGTTTAGACAAATAGCCAGAGAAGAAGAAAGCAGATGATTAAAACTTCTGAGGATTTAACACTGTTCATCACCAAATCCCTGTCTGTCTATGCTATTAAAACCTGGGAGTAAGTGCTCAGCAGAGAGGTCAACCACCAGCTACACCTGTGTTTACTCTGAAATTTGATACTGAAAAAGTCTCAACAGCAGCTAAAAAAGCAGGCATGTTTCTCCTCACTAAACAAGTGAGAATTTCACTGAGAACTCAATGTGTGTTTTAATTTTCCAGGACCACAGTAATATTTACTAGCTATGGCAAAAAGCTCTCTGAATACTCCTGTAGTGATGTAAGTGGTTCCCTAAAATGTTTGCAATTTAAAAAGCTTTACAATCCTACCTCTGTTAATTCCTTACCAACATTGAGTCTAAAGGCTCTGCTATCAGAGTACCCCAATCATAAGTTATTCCTACAGTACAAACATCAGTTGTATGTAAATGCAAAAAACTACATCACTGGGTCTACCTATCATCAATTAACTAGCTGAAACTAAATGGGTCAGAAAAGAGGGAGAAAATGCCTCATTTGGTTACTATGTTACCTGTTGTTCAGCAAAATGTTAGAACACTTAATATCCCGATGCAGGAAATTCTTTTTGTGACAGTAATCCAATCCTTCCATTAGCTGTTTCATGAATGACTTGATATGGTCCTCAGAAAAGTGCACCAAACCAGATTCTAGCAGTCCCATTAAGTCATGGTCCATATACTCAAATACAAGGTAAAAGGCACCTACACAAAAATGAAAGAAAAAATTAAAAACAAGAGGAAAAGGATGCTGAAATGACAATGCCTCAAATTTCACTATTATTTTGGAGTGGACCATAAGGTTCTTTGAAGCAATTGCTTCATTTTACAGATAAAGGAACTGAAACTCAGAGTACTTGAATAACTTGCCCTTTCTAATAATAACAGAACTACTTATCTGAATCACTCTTCGGACTCCTAACCCAGTGCTCTTTGGACTATTTTCTTCTTAAGGAGGACAACTGTCCCGATATCAAGCTGTATTATTAATCTTTTACAATCTAAGTCAGTTGGCAAATTACAGGCCTTGGGTCAAATCCAGTCTGTTGTTTATCACTGTAAATAAAGCTTTATTTGTAACACACAACCATGCCCATTTGTTACAATGCCATCACTGTCTATGGCTACTGTGTAAGTCTTTACCTTAGTTATATTTAATAGGACTCATAATATGCCAGGGACAGCACAGTATATGTAGTATAAATTATTAGTGAAATTTATAGTATTTAAGAACTGAAAGAAAATGAGCCATCTAATTAAACTCCCTAAATTTAAAAGTAAATTAAAGAAGAAGCATGCTAAGAGAACTGTAAAAGATTTGAAATCCATGCTATCTTTCTCCACTTTAGCAGGGTGTGTGACAGAGGCAAATATCGTAACATAAAAAATACCAGACCTAGTTAGACAATTACGTATCCAATCTAAAATTCTGTCTCTTAACAGCATAAAGGCAAGGATTCTTAATCTAGTACACAGAAATCAAGGACTCTTTGAACTCCCTGAAACAGTATGCAATATTTTAAATGTATTTTTTTAAAGCGTGGACCCATAAGATGTTTAAAGAGGTCCATACCGCCCAAAAGTTAAGAACCACTGCATCAAAGGAATATCTTAGATTTAGTTAAGAGTTCATACAAATTAACAAGTAAAACACTAAAACTGCAAAAGTAGACAAAACACACAAAAAGACAACTCAAAGAAGAGAAAATAAGTAAAACTGATAAACATGGAAAAAGAACTCAGAAGTAATAGAAGGAATGCAATCCAAAATAACGATAGGATACTTCACCTATCAAAATGACAATTTTTTAAAAAGATATACTCAGGGACACCTGGGTGGCTCAGTTGGTTGGGCATCTGACTCTTTATTTCAGCCCTGGATCATGATCTCATACTTCATGGGTTCTAGCCCCATGTCAGGCTCAATGCTGTTAGTGCAGCCTGCTTGGGATTCTCTCTCTCCCTCTCCCTGCACCTCCCTTGCTTCCATGTGCACACGCTCTCTCTCAAAACAGATAAATAAACTTAAAAAAATAAAATAAAAAGATACACTCAATGTGAGGGAGGATAAAGTGGGATGGGCACTCACTGGTGGATATAAATTATTACTATCTTAAAAGTAATCTAACATTAAATATAGAAATCTGCCTGGCTCATTTGAAAGAACATGTGACTCTTGTCCACAACTCTTGTTCACAACTCTCAGGGTTGTGAGTTCAAGTCCCACGTTGGGTGTAGAGATTTAAAAAAAAAAAAAAAAATCGCTTCAACCAGATAATTCTACTTCTAAGAAACTATACTAAGAAATAAATCAAGGGGTGCCTAGGTGGCTCAGTTGGTTGAGTGTAAAACTCTTGATTTCAGCTCAGCTCATGATTCCAAAGTTGGGGGATGAAGCCCCTTGTTGGGCTCTGTGCTGAGCATGGAGGCTGCTTACGATTTATTTTCTCTCTCTCTCTCTCCCTTCTCGTTCTCTCCTCCCCACCCCTGCTTGCTTTCTCTCACAAAATCAATCAATCAAAACGCAAAGATTTATGGACAAAGATGCTCAATGCAGTACTACAGTACTTTTTTAAACTAGTAACTAATTGGGGTGCCTGGCTGGCTCAGTCAATACAGCACGTGACTCTTGATCTCCGAGCCATAAGTTCAAGCTTCATGTAGGGCACAGAGCTTACTTTTCTTTTCTTTTTTATGTTTATGCATTTTTGAAAGAGACAGAGAGGCAAAGAGAGAGGGAGGAGGAGGATCCAAAGTGATCCAAAGTGGGTTCCATGCTGACAGCAGAGAGCCCAGTGCGGGGCTTATACTCACAAGCCATGAGATCGTGACCCGAGCTAAGTCAGACACTCAACTGATTGAGCCCCCCAGGTGCCCCAAGGGCATAGAGCTTACTCTAAAAAAATTAAATTAAATTAAAAATAAAATAAAATAAACTGGCAACTAATTGCTGAAAAGAGACTGGTGAAATAAATTTGGATTTATCCTAATGCAGTCATTAAAATGTTAATAACATGAGAAATTGCTTATGACAAGTTATAAAATACTAAACATACTTTGATCTTAGTTATGATAAAACAAGTATAATACATACAAAGTACTTAGAAAGAAATATGCTAAAATGCTAATACCATAATGGTTTTCTATGGATGATGGTAGACTGGGATGGAGTGGGAGAGAATGCCATTTTCTTTTTCTTAGACTTCCATATTTTCAATTTCTTCAAAAAAGGTATGCATTACATCCATTTATTCACTTATTTATTATTTTATGATTAAAAAATTTAAACAGTACATGGTAAACCATTTAAATAATACAGAATGGCATGGGAAAAGTAAGCTCCACTCTAGAAGCAACCAATTAATGTTTCCTTGTTTATCCTTAAAGAAATTACCTGTACATTATATTATTTTTATAATCAAAAAGTTAAGACACATCCAGAAATACATCCAGTATTCTTAATCTATTCAGGTCTAACTTCCATAAATTTATCAAAGTACATAACACATTACATAAGCAAAATTTCCTTTCATTTGGTTTAAAACTACTTCTAGGGGCGCCTGGGTGGCACAGTCGGTTAAGCGTCCGACTTCAGCCAGGTCACGATCTCGCGGTCCGTGAGTTCGAGCCCCGCGTCAGGCTCTGGGCTGATGGCTCGGAGCCTGGAGCCTGTTTCCGATTCTGTGTCTCCCTCTCTCTCTGCCCCTCCCCCGTTCATGCTCTGTCTCTCTCTGTCCCAAAAATAAATAAAAAACGTTGAAAAAATAAAAATAAAAAAAAAAATAAAACTACTTCTACCACTTAATAAAATTAAAAACAAAACACACAAACAAAAACTGCTTCTACCAAATTTGAGAAGTGCTAACTTCCCTAGTGCTAATCTTTAATATCATTAAGGCTCTATAAATAAGCCCAGCTTACTTCATCTATTACCTTCCTAATTTTATGTGCTTTAATCACATTCTCTCTTAACATTCCAGACTATATTTACAGATGTCATTTCTTCAGTTGCCCATCTCTAAATCTTCAGATTTGCTTCAATAAAAGTAGGTTAAATGATATATATAGACCACTTCAAACATAAGTATAAATGAGTAATTTTATCCCCCAAACAGAAAAAAGTTACAAATCCAGGAAAATCCAGGAAAATATATGACCTAAAGATTGTTTTAGAAATACCTGTTTGAATTCTAAACTGTGTAAGTGCAAAACTATGTAAAAATAAGAATGTATTATAAAGAATGTATTATAAATTTATAAGTAATTTATAAATTATAAAAATGTATGTTACATTATAAAATGTAAAAATGAGATTACTTAAAATTACTTAAAATGAGATTCTTAAAAATAACTAGGAAATCTAGGTTTAATTATTATAATTTGTGGGAAGAAACTTTAAAACTAATATCTTAATTCTGTTATGGATTCAGTAAAGAAGTTGGACTTTATAAAAAATTTAGTACTTAAGGGGTGCCTGGGTGGCTCAGTCAGTTGGGTGTCTGACTTAGGCTTAGGTTGTGATCTCACAGTAGGTGAGTTTGAGCCCCACATTGGGCTCTGTGCTGACAGCTCAGAGCCTGGAGCCTGCTTCTAATTCTGTGTCTCCCTCTCTCTCTGCCCCTACTCTGCTCACACTCTGACTCTCTCACTCTCAAAAATAAACAAACATAAATAAAAAATTTAAAAAAGAAAAATAACACTTTAGAAAAAATTCAAACAGGTAAACAAGCTATGAAAGGAAAGTAAGATGTACCAATCTACTCTGTAGAAACATGGTTCCTTGCTAATACCTTTGTCCTTCTTGAAATCCAGTGCATCTTGTTTATCTGTAACAATTTCCTTCATGTTAACAACACTTCGGTGGATTAGCTGACGAAGGATTTTGATCTCACGAATGGCTGTGATCGGGAAGCCCTCCTTTTCATTATCCAGTCTCACCTTCTTTAGGGCTACCAGCTCTCCTGTTACACAACAAATTCAAACTGTTACATTATCAGCATTTTTGGCCACCATCATGAACAGGCGAAAAATGCCCAGAGTTGCTCTGAAACACAGTTAGCTTACTTTTAATGCTATATGCCAGATACTTCTATATCTTAAAAAACAAAACAAGGGGCGCCTGGGTGGCGCAGTCGGTTAAGCGTCCGACTTCAGCCAGGTCACGATCTCGCGGTCCGTGAGTTCGAGCCCCGCGTCGGGCTCTGGGCTGATGGCTCAGGGCCTGGAGCCTGTTTCCGATTCTGTGTCTCCCTCTCTCTCTGCCCCTCCCCCGTTCATGCTCTGTCTCTCTCTGTCCCAAAAATAAAAATAATCGTTGAAAAAAAAAAACAAAAACAAAACCCATGTTCCCTTTCTTGCCTTTGATTGTTTTTTTAAGACTTGAATTTCTTAATTCAATATTCTTTTTATTTTTAAGGACTAACCCCTTACCAAACAAAGAGCAACCTATAAATTTTACTTTTACTCTCTCTTCAATTCCTAGCAAGCCTATTATAAAATATTTACAACAGGCAACAGAAGAGGAAGGTTTTTAAACAGTAATAATTATTCTTTTGGAAATTTTTGTCTTTTAGTAACTTGTGGAAACCAATTAGAACTCAAAATTTAGTTTTGCCAAATCTACTAAATCTACATTAGTATTGCTAAATTTTTAAACTTCTGACATCTAGACTTTTGTGGTAATGTTTACCTGTGTCTTTGTCCTTGGCTTTATATACTTGGCCATAGGTTCCCTCTCCAATAATCCCAATAATGTCAAACTTGTCCACACAGCGTTTTCCCCAGTCACTTTCTGTTTGTCTTCTTTCTCCATAACGAGGACAACAAATTCTAAAAAAGGCAAAACAAAAGAACCCCCCCCAAAACCAAAAAGTTATCATAAACACTTAAGCCTATTCAAAGAAGAAAACAATTATTTTATGATAATTTCTCTGGCCCATGAATCTTTTATGAATTTCTCCATTAAAAAGATATGAAATATGGGCGCCTGGGTGGCGCAGTCGGTTAAGCGTCCGACTTCAGCCAGGTCACGATCTCGCGGTCCGTGAGTTCGAGCCCCGCGTCGGGCTCTGGGCTGATGGCTCAGAGCCTGGAGCCTGTTTCCGATTCTGTGTCTCCCTCTCTCTCTGCCCCTCCCCCGTTCATGCTCTGTCTCTCTCTGTCCCAAAAATAAATAAATGTTGGAAAAAAAAATTTAAAAAAAAGATATGAAATAAATATGTAATAGTCTCTCACAATGGCTAAGACAGATTTTTTGCTTCAGGAAGGCATAATATCAAATAATAGATTTGGTGCTTACTTTCTAACCTCTCTTCAGTATTGGCTTCCTCACCTACTGAATGGTAAAGAAACCTTACATCATAGAGTTACTGTTAAAATAAAAGACTTTGGCAATAATACATGCTCAATAAACGATAACCATTTTTACTATTAAGAGAGGAATGCTGGGGTGCCTGGTTGGCCCAGTCAGTAGGCCCATGACTCAATTCCAGGGTCCTGAGTTTAAGCTCCACAGTGGGCATGGAGCCTCCTTAAAGACATTTTTTTTTTTTTTAATTTAAAAAAATTAAAAAAAAAAGAGAGAGAGGAATGGTAATAATCAGAAGATCAAATCCAGATTCCACTACATTTATGGTACAGCAATTTCTGTGGTTTAGGAAAAAACATCCCACATCTATTAAGTTTTCATTAATGTGTACATGGTTGACACACCCTGAATAAAAGGACTTTTTTCTTTTCTTTTCTTTTCTTCTTAATATTCTAAGTATCAAACTCAAAAGATACAATGGGATCAATGTTCGTGGTACATTTGGATTCAAGAAATTATTGTTTTTCTAAAAACACAAGTGGATATCTTACAGTGCAGATGAACAGTATCCCAGAAAGGCTTTTATCCATTAAAATAAAATTAAAAAAATATATGTCAGGTCCAATCTTTTATAATCCCACCGTGTAGGCTGTGGACGAAAGTGTGAGATTTAGACCCAAAGGAAAAAAGCTATAATTAAGAATAGGTCCCTCAGGCGCCTGGGTGGCTCAGTCGGGTAAGCATCCGACTTCAGCTCAGATCATGATCTTACAGTCTGTGAGTTTGAGCCCCACGTCGGGCTCTGTGCTGACAGCTCAGGGCCTGGAGCCTGCTTCGGATTCTGTGTCTCCCTCTCTCTCTGCCCCTCCCCTGCTCATGCTCTGTCTCTCTCTGTCTCAAAAATTTAAAAAATTAAAAATTAAAAACATTAAAAAAAATAAAAAAGAATAGGTCCCTCATGGGGCACCTGGCCGGCTGAGTCAGTGGAACAAGCAACTCTTGATCTTGTGGCTGTGAATGAGTCCCATGTTGAGTACAGAGATCACTTAAAAACAAAAACTTTAAGGGGCACCTGGGTGGCTCAGTCGGTTGAGTGTCCAACTCTTAATTTTGGCTCAAGCATGATCCCAGGGTCATGGGATCAAGCCCCGCATTGGGCTCTGCATTGATTGTGGAGCCTGCTTAAGATTCTCTCTCCCTCTGCCCCTCTCCCAGGATCACACACACTCTCTCTCACACACACACATACACACAAGAGGACTGGAAAAAATAGGTCCTTCCAAAAACTCACTTTGGTCTCTTTTTATATGGTTGCTGAGGTGGTGTAACTGCCTTTGGTTCTGGTGAGTCTGGAGGAGATGGATCCCCACCAGGAAGCTCTGGAGGGAGAGGGAGGTCCGTGAGTAAGTGACGTGGCCTTTGTTCCTTCTCTTTCTTTACAGGTTTTGAAGGTGGAGTCTCTTTTGGACTAAACAATAGAAGAGAAGAAAAAGACCATAATTCCTTAAAACATAAGCAAATAAAACTTTTCAAAGCTTTTAAAGTCTGGCTATTAAAACGTTATAAAGATTTTACTTTTAAGGGATAAAACCCTGTAATAGAACATAAGGATATGCAGTTTATCACAGTCAAAGATTTTTGGATTTCAGAAAAAGATATCCACAGTATATAAAAGAAAAAATTAAAAATTGGGGATATCACTTGTAGGTCCTTTAACAAGGCTTTAACGTCCTTCCTAAGATTCTACTTGGATTTTTACTGAAATGAAATAAAATGCAAGAAGCAGGCACCTTAAATTCCCAAAGTACCATTACAATTTCTGGAGTCCCCAAATCTACTCCATATATTTTAACCAGCAAAGATTTTAAAAAGCAATGAAAAGCTCAACAATGCAACATTACCATGTTATTAAATATGTGGGCAGAACTTGGAAAAGGAAATAGTATTTTAGAATGTTCAGTAAGAATTATAGTTAAGTGGACATCAAAATTAGTGAATATACTCACCTATTCTATTGACTTGGAAGCAAAAGGCAACCCTACCTGGCTAGCCAAAATGGATAAATAATTCTCAAACTAAAAATCTAAGGAGAAAGAGTCCAAGAAACTACTTCAGAATCATGAAAGCAGTTAGTAGCAGACTTTTCATGATAATCAACAAAATAGTCAGTGGGGAGAGGGGGGAGAAAAGAATGTCTTTTCTGGAATAGATTAGAAAAGTCAGTGTTCAGATCCAATTTTTTAACAATCTCAATTTATTTATGAGTAAAGAAATTATTTTGTGTTATTCATGTCCTTAGGAAAAATACAACATATTAATTCATGCCTACAAATAAAACCATGCTAGATAGTAAGCCTTTTCTCTTCCATCACAGTATCAGAAGGTTGAAAACAAGCTGAGAATCCTAACCACAGTAGGAGCCTCCTCTACTTTTCTGACAAGTAGTTATAAAAAAATGTATTGGGGTACCTGGGTGGCTCAGTCAGTTAAGCATCCGACTTCAGCTCAGGTCACCACCTCGTGGCGGTTCATGAGTTCGAGCCCCGCATTGGTCTCTGGGCTGACAGCTCAGAGCCTGGAGCCTGCTTTGGATTCTGTGTCACCCTCTCTTTCTGTCCCTCCCCTGCTCGCACTCTTGTCTCTCTCTCCCTCTCAAAAATAAACATTTAAAAAAATCATTAAAAAATGTATTATTTCATGAATACTTCCATAGAACTATAAAGAACAGATTTATCCCTTGTATTGCACATGAAACACAATCTCAAAAGTACAACTTCCTACCAGTTTTCATCAGTTCAATCTCTTGTAAATCAGGCAGAATAGAGTCAAGATTAGTTCGTGTGTATCAACTAGAACTAGGGTAGTCAATGGACTACCCATGCAAAACCATCATCTGAAACTTTCTGTTAAATTACTGATAGAGACAAACACATTATTATAATTTGCACTAAGATTTTACTACCCTGGGAAAACTCTTCAGGAAGGATACAATATAGATATTTAAATTTTTCCCCAATTTTTAAGGTATTCAGAGAATGAAAATTCCTAATTTTCCAACTACTAATGTCAGAATACTCCTTATAAATTTTAATTCTTCATGATCCAGAAATAGAGTACTTCTTGGTTTTGCTCCACTAGAACTGAAGGACCTCAATTTTCTCACCATCACTTCATGTAAGTTCAGTCTATTTTTTTCTTTAAGTATTTTTTTTTTAAGTTTTATTTCTTTATTTTGGGAGAGAGAGGAATGTGAGTAGGGGAGGAGCAGATAGGGAAAGAGAGACAATCCCAAGCAGGGATTCTGCGCTGACGGTGTGGAGCCATCGCGATGTGGGGCTCAAACCCACAAACTGTGAGATCATGACCTGAGCCGAAAGCAAGAGTCGGACACTTAACCGACTGAGCTACCCAGATGCCCTTCAGTCTTTATATTTAGGTCTTGTTTTCTCCAAGGTTTACTTTATAGGTTCACATTCAGTTTACTACAGTGAAAATGTGCATTGCTTCTGAAAAATTACATGTTTAGTATGTTTATTTCATCAAGTATGAGTGTTCAATATGTACTACCAGTTCAGGGCACACGAGTTGAATGCAGGTCAAATCCTATTTCAAAAAAATTTCAATATACCAAAAATCTGGGAATAATGATGACCCATAAAATTGTAGTATTTAAGGGGAACCTGGGTGGCTCAGTCGGTTAAAGTCTGACTTCAGCTTAGGTCATGATCTCCCGGTTCGTGAGTTCGAGCCCCACATCAGGCTCTCTGCTTTCAGTGCAGAGCCTGCTTCAGATCCTCTGTCTCCCTCTCTTTCTGCCCCTCCCCCCACTCTCTCAAAATAAATAAACATTAAAAACAAACTGCAGTGCTTAACATTATGGCCTTTAGCGTTCAGCATAGGGTACTCAGTAAAACGTAGCTGTGTACAGTGCAGAGGACATACCATACAGAGGGTCTAACACTGGAGAGCAGATATTTAACATTTGAGTCCTTACTGTGAAGATTCAGTACCAGGAAGCTGGCCTATCTTATTAATCAATATCAGTATTTCCTGGTTCCCCAATTATGCCTGTAGTCGGGTTCACATATGGTGAGTAGTTGCATAAATGCTCACATATAATATTTTCTTTCAAAAAACATTGCCATGGAGCCTGGGTGGCTCTTAAGCGTCAGACTCTTGATTTTGGACTTCACAGGTCAGGATCTCACAGTTTGTGAGATCGGTGCTGCATTGGGCTCTGGGCTAAATAAAGGTGCAGATTCTCTCTCTCCCTCTCTCAAAATAAATAAAAACATTTTTAAAAAGTTGCCAAGTTCCAGGGGCACCTGGGCGGCTCAGGTTATGATTTCACAGTTCGTGAGTTCAAAACCCACATCTGTGCAGAGCCTGCTTCAGATTCTCTTTCCCTTTTATATGCCCCTCCTCCACACTCTCTCTCAAAAATAAACATTAAAAAAAAAGTTGCCAGGGGCGCCTGGGTGGCTCGGTCGGTTAAGCGTCTGACTTCGGCTCAGGTCATGATCTCACGGTCCGTGAGTTCGAGCCCCGCGTCGGGCTCTGTGCTGACGGCTCAGAGCCTGGAGCCTGTTTCCGATTCTGTGTCTCCCTCTCTCTCTGCCCCTCCCCTGTTCATGCTCTGTCTCTCTCTGTCTCAAAAATAAATAAACGTTAAAAAAAATTAAAAAAAAAAAAGTTGCCAAGGTCCAAATTTTAAAGTCTGTACAGTCTCTTAGAATTTATGATGATGGGATTTAATCTGTAGTACAATATCAATACCACCAATAAGAAGTCTTTATTGTTAATAAAGAGTATGAATTTGCATATCAATGATTTAAAAAGAATAATTTCTTGATATTTTCTACAACTTAATAGCATAAACGACTTTAAATAAATATGATCATTTATCCCTTGCCCCTTAAAGTGGGTTGTTTAGAAAGTGATTTACTTTCATAAACTTCTACCAAAAAATTTGAATTGAATACATTAAAAATGAGAACCAAGCATTCCATTAGCAAAATTCTGAATCAAATTTGAATGCTCACAAAGATCCCTTCTTTTCTGTAAGAGCTTAACAGTTTAAAGGTAAAATCTTTAAGAATAATGTAGACTCTACTAAAGTCTGATAAACTCCAAATGAACCAGGGCCAGCAAAAAATTTTATCAAAAATGAAGATTTGATTTTATTATTATTATTTTTTTAGTAAGCTCTATGTCCAATGTGAGGCTTGAACTCACAACCATGAGATTGAGAATCACATGCTCTACTGACTGAGCCAGCCACATGCCCCAGTTAACTGAAATTAAAAAAAAAAAAAAAAAAAAGAGTACACAAATGATCTCCTTAAGAGCAGGATGATCACTATGAATAGCTATGTTCATGAAGAATGTACTATATCATCAAGAATGGGTGTTTAGTAGCCTTCACTTCTTGAAACAAAGAATTACAGACCATTTAGAAAGGCTTTTTCAATACCATTAGTTAAATTCACTCCTGCATTTGATACCTAGGTTAATATACTCCTGGCCCAATATATGTTTGAAAGAAAAGTTTCATTCTATTCCCAAAGGAACTTTAAAAGAAGACAAATCCTCTGACATAAGCTTTACATCATCCATTTGCCAAATGAATTAACTACATGCCCAGTGTCATTTCACATAAGCCCTGACGCTGGCTCCTTCAGTAGATGTACTTATTTTGACTGAATAATAAGCAGTATTTACTGAATACAATTTGTATCCTATGTTTAAAGCACTGTAGGTAATGGAAAGATGTATAAATCACATTCTCAACAATTAAGCTGTTGCAATCTCACGTGAGAAGATCAAGAAGAAAATAAATGAATTCATAAATTCTGTATGCAACTTTCAGATTTCTTCCTGAAAAGTTTTCTTACATAAAAATTATTTTTCATATGAAGGTTGGTGCAGCTGTTATGCTAGATAAAGAAGTACCAAAAACAAAAAACCAATTTAAAGACAAAAACCACCTTGACTCTAAAATTAATACTGGGAATGCAAACTAGTGTAGCCACTCTGGAAAACAGTATGGAGGTTCCTCAAAAATTTAAAAATAGAACTACCCTACAACCCAGCAATTGCACTACTAGGTATTTATCCAAGGGATACAGGTATGCTGTTTCGAAAGGACACATGCACCCCAATGTTTATAGCAGTACTATCAACAAGAGCCAAAGTATGGAAAGAGCCCAAATGTCCATCGATGGATGAATGGATAAAGATGTATACATATGTGTATATATATATACACATATGTATACACACACACACACACACACACAACGGAGTATTACTTGTCAATCATAAAGAATGAAATCTTGCCATGTGCAACTACGTGGATGGAACTAGAGGGTATTATGCTAAGTGAAATTAGTCAGAGAAAGACAAATATCATATGACTTCACTCATATGAAGATTTTAAATTTTTTTTTTCAACGTTTACCCATTTTTGGGACAGAGAGAGACAGAGCATGAACGGGGGAGGGGCAGAGAGAGAGGAAGACACAGAATCGGAAATAGGCTCCAGGCTCTGAGCCATCAGCCCAGAGCCTGACGCGGGGCTCGAACTCACGGACCGCGAGATCGTGACCTGGCTGAAGTCGGACGCTTAACCGACTGCGCCACCCAGGCGCCCCATATGAAGATTTTAAAACACAAAACAGATGAACACAAGGGAAGGGAAGCAAAAATAATATAAAAACAGGGAAGGGGACAAAACATAAGAGACTCTTAAATATGGAGAACAAACAGAGGGTTACTGGAGGGGCTGTGGGAGGGGGGGGAAGAGCTAAATGGGTTAAGGGGCATTAAGGAATCTAGTCCTGAAATCATTGTTGCACTATATGCTAACTTGAATGTAAATTAAAAAAATAAATTAGAGGCGCCTGGGTGGCTCAGTCAGTTGGGCTCAGGTCATGATCTCGCGGTCCGTGAGTTTGAGCCCTGTGTCAGGCTCTGTGCTGACAGCTCAGAGCCTGGAACCTGTTTCGGATTCTGTCTCCCTCTCTCTCTCTGACCCTCCCCCATTCATGCTCTGTCTCTCTCTGTTTCAAAAATAAATAAACATTAAAAATAAATAAATAAAATAAAATAATTAATTAAAATAAGTTAAAAATAAAAATACATAGTGAAAAAATAAAATCAATAGTGGGAGATATCTTCATTTCTGTTTTTCTACCTTCAATAATTGATTTACATTTATGTGGAAAACTAATAATAATCATACATTTAAAAATAATTACACTGGTGCTCACTTTGGCAGTACATATACTAAAGCTGGAATAATACAGAGAAGATGAGCATGGCTCCTGCGCAAGTATGATAAGCAAATTTATGAAGCATTCCCAATTTTTAAAATATTAAAAATTTGTAGATATGGTACAAATGCTCCTTTACCTTTGACCTTCATCCTAAGTCCCATCCACAGAGGTAACCATTCTTATCAGCTTAGTATGTTTCTTTCTGGATTTTTTTGGTATGAATTTATATGGGTATATACGGATATATTCATATGAATACATATATCCATAAAAATAGATGTTTTGTTTTTATTGTATATGGGTTTTTACATAGATATCATACTATTAAAAAGTTAATTACGTTGGACTATGAGAGAAAATAGTTATACTTTCAGAATCAGCATTAGTAACAAAAAATAGTTTTGCTCACTTCATTCTCTCTCAAACACATTCTTTTTTCTTTTTTAATTTATTTTATTTATTTTGAGAGAGAAAGCGCAAGTCAGGGAAGGGCAGAGAGTGGGGGGCGGGGAGAGAGAGAGAGAGAGAGAGAGAGAGAGAGAGAGAGAATCCCAAGCAGTCTCCACACTGTTAGCGCGGAGCCCCACAGGGGCCTGAACCCACCAACCGTGAGATCATGACCTGAGCCAAAGTCAGACGCTTAAATGACTGAGCCACCCAAGCACCCCAGAAACACATTCTTAAAGATAGCTACACATACTCAAATAAGCTCTGGATGGTCTTACTTTACCTTTCATCCCCAATCTGAAAGATAGAAATCCTTATGTGTCTCCTATAAAAATTACTCCACCTACGGTAATCTGCACTCTACACTGATACATGGCAGGTGAGTTCAATAATCACTTGGTTAGCCAAATAAACATTTCAAAATGAAGATTCTCAGCCACACCAATTCTGTTCTAGCCACAATGTAAACTAATATCTAAACACGGTTCTTGTAGGTAGATCATGGCCTAAAGTCCCATCGGAGAATGCCCAACTATCACCTTTTCCAACAAAAACCATAAAAACACATAGTTTGTATCTACAAGAAGTATATTATGTTCCTAAACAGATTTCCTTTACAACATTTCAGGTTTTAGTCTTCTCCTTTGTTCTCAGGATACAGAGAATTCATAATTATTAATATTAGAAAGACCATGTAGAATTTCTCTTTAAAATCTGGGGCGCCTGGGTGGCGCAGTCGGTTAAGCGTCCGACTTCAGCCAGGTCACGATCTCGCGGTTCGTGAGTTCGAGCCCCGTGTCGGGCTCTGGGCTGATGGCTCAGAGCCTGGAGCCTGTTTCCGATTCTGTGTCTCCCTCCCTCTCTGCCCCTCCCCCATTCATGCTCTGTCTCTCTGTCCCAAAAATAAATAAACGTTGAAAAAAAAATTTTTTTTAAATCAGATTTACCACTATGAATAGTAATACAGCTATTCTTTTAAATTTTTTAATTGCATTTGTACCATCTTATAAGGCAAAGAGCATAGTCTGAAAAATATAGATGTAAAGGGCTGAAATATATCATCATTTAAATTATTAATGTCACTTGGAAAATAATGAAGGCTTGGGAATTAGTCTGGGATGCAAGATCAGTAGCACTTACTTTTATGCTTACAATGAAGTTTGTTGCAATAAATGAAACTCATATTCTAGAGAACAAGAGGGTAGGATCTCCTTTGAAAAAACCAGTAACAGACTGCCATGGCATATGTCACTGCTAATCATATGTGTTTGGTGGTACTTGCCTAGCTAGTCTTGCTAAGATAAAGAATAAATATATTTCCTAATGCTTTCCATAAAATCAGATTCATGTTTCATAATCATTTCACTTCTCAATATTCAGAGAATTCATTATAATTAGAGCTCTCCGGGGCGCCTGGGTGGCTTGGTCGGTTAAGCTTCCGACTTCGGCTCAGGTCATGATCTCACGGTCCGTGAGTTCGAGCCCCACGTCGGGGTCTGTGCTGACCGCTCAGAGCCTGGAGCCTGTTTCGGATTCTGTGTCTCCCTCTCTATCTGACCCTCCCCTGTTCATGCTCTGTCTCTCTCTGTCTCAAAAATAAATAAACGTTAAAAAAAAAAAAAAAATTAGAGCTCTTCCAGGGTGCCGAGTGGCCAGTTGGTTGAGCATCTGACTCTTCATTTCTGTTCATGTCATGCTATCACAGTTCATGGGATCGAGCCCCACATGGGGCTCTGCACTGACAGTGTGGAGTCTGTTTGGGATTCCCTCCCTCTCTCTCTCTCTGCTCTTTACCCCCTCAAAAAAATAAATACAATAAACTTAAAAACAAGCTAAAAAAACTGGAGCTCTTCCCATCATCCCATTGTGAATTTATATTCTAATTAGTTAAAAATTCTATGTATTGTTTTTTGCTTCTAAGATTATTTTTTTTTAATTTTTTAAATGTTTTATTTATTTTTTTGAGAGAAAAAGAGACAGAGCATGAGCAAGGGAGGGGCAGAGAGAGAGGGAGACACAGAATCCAAAGCAGGGTCCAGACTCCAAGCTGCCAGCACAGAGCCCAGCACAGGGCTCAAACTCATGATCCATGAGATCATGACCTGAGTCAAAGTCGGATACCTGACGGAACCACCCAGGTGCCCCTATATACATACACATACATATACATGTATATATGTATGTATGTGTGTATATATGTATGTGTGTGTGTGTGTATATATATATACATATATATATCTATATATATATATATACATATATCTATCTATATATATATATATATTTTTTTTTTTTTAAAGCAGTGCTTTTCAAGATAAACCTAGTTTAGTTTTCTTCTGGATTAGGAGGAAAAGCTCCAGCTATAAAAGACATTTTGGGGGATCATTAAGGATATTTAATATATTATTGGTATTATATTAGTAAATCAGTGAGAAGTTTTTTTAGGGTGATAAAGGTATTGTGATTCTTTAGGAAAATGTTTCCAGTGTCAGGAGAGATATACTAAAGTATTCAGAAGTAAAGTGTCATGATATCTAAAGCAAATGTGGCAGAAAGTTAATAACTGGTGAATCCTGGTGAAGAGTATACAAGAGTTCATTGTGTTATTCTTTCAATTTTTCTATAACTATTAGAATTTTCAACATAGGGTCACCTGGCTGGCTCAGTTGGTGGAGCATGCAACTCTTGATCTAAGGGTTGTGAGCTCAAGCCCCACACTGGGTTTAGAGATTACTTAAAAAATATTTGTTTTAATCTAAAAGAAAAAGAAAAATTTTTTCAACACAAAAATTTATGGAGGGGTGCCTGGGTGCCTCAGTCAGTTAAGTGGCCAATTTCAGCTCAAGTCATTATCTCACGGTTCGTGAGTTCGAGCCCTGAGTCAGGCTCTGTGCTGACAGCTCAGGGCCTGGAGCCTGCTTTGGATTCTGTGTCTCCCTCTCTCTCTGCCCCTCCCCTCCTCCCACTCTGTCTCTCTGTCTCTCAAAAATAAATAAACATTAAAAAAAAATTAGGGAGAAAAACGCTGATTTTCAAAAATCTGAACCAAAAATAACCCTTATCAAATAAACTTACAAATAAAAAGGGTTACTAGGGCCTCAAATTGTAATTTTCTCCTCCTAACTAATGTTATAAATACGAACTTTTCCACTGAAAACCAACATCAAAGGCATTTCCTACACATAAAAAGCATTCTAAACAGCCATGTAATAGAGCAGTTTTGACAGTTTGAGAAGACAGAATGCATTACACTTAGATTGAGAAGGTAAAATTTTCCCAGTTAACTATGGGACTTACCTATCCATGTCATCGTCTCCAGGTAATAAGGGTGGGAGGGGCAGAGGAGGCAACGTTGAAGTTTTTAAGTGTGGAATAGCAGCTGTTACAGATACTTGAGTCTTCACAGAAACCTGTACAGGGGGCTGAGAATTTGCCTGAGAGGACAGAGTAGATGTCCTTGGGTGAGTAGAAGGGGGCAGAGTTGAAGTACTAGAAGCAAGAACCTGACTAAATGCTGGTTGGGGAGGAGGCAGAGGTGGTTGCTGTGGAATAGCTGGTAGTGGAGGCAAAGGTGGCAAAGGGGGTGTTTGAGGTGGAGGGGTAGTAGTTGGTAAAGGAGGTGGAGGAGAAGTAACTGTGGGGAGAGGCGGATGGGTCTCCTTTTCTGATACCTCTGTCTCTTTTGGAGTAACAATCTCCTCTTTCAATGCTACGGGTTTAGAGTCTCTTGATCCCTGTGCTTTCAAATCTTTAAGAATAGGATGCTTCTCAGAGTTCTCATCCAACTTTACTTTCCCTGTATCTAAAGAATTTTTGACTTCTGTATTGAGATGTGGTACATTCACCAGTTCAGTATCTGGGGCAGATTTTTCCAATTTTACACCTCTGGGTAACTTTTTAGACTCCAAGCCTGAATCCTTAGCCTCTACTAAACTGTTCTCTTTTCTAGGCAAAAACACAGGTGAACCCTTGGACTCCTTTCCATCCATTTTTGCTGCAGCAGCAGCTGCTGCTCTTTCCTTCTTTTTCCTACTGAGTTCAGCTCCCAAGCTGGAGTTCAATGGAAGCCTGACAGGTGAGATGCTGGAATGTCGACTGCGTGACCCCGATCTCTTCTTTTTACTATGAGAAGATGAGTGTCTTGAATATGCGGGACTTCTACTTCTAGACTTCATGGATTTCCTACTGGAAAAAGAAAAAGACAATTTAAGATGGACAGCCTACAACAATATGGAGGAAATACATCCGTTAAACTATGGAGCAATGTAGGGACATTCACTTTCAAATGCCCCCTTCTTTGTAAAGAGAGCTTTCATACTATTTTTACTTTCTAATCTTATACTCTAATACTGCTCACTAAAAAACAAACAAACAAACAAACAAAAAACTATGGAGCACTGTAAAGAACCCACTTGAGTAATTTATCAATCTTAAAAATAAATTAGGTACCATCAAAAAATAATATACCAATATTGGTTTATTAATGGGTTCATTAACTGTAACAAATGTAAAATACTAATGTAAAATGTTAATAATAAGGGAAACTGGGTGCAAGGACATATAAGAATTCTTTGTACTGGGGCCCCTGGGTGGCTCAGTCAATTAGGCAGCCGACTCTTGATTTTATTTCAGGTCATGATCTCATGGTTTATGGGTTTGAGCCCTACACTGGGCTCTGCACTAACTGACAGTGTGGAGCCTGCTTGGGATTCTCCCTCTCTTTCTACCCCTCCCACACACGCTCTCAAAATACATAGATAAACTTAAAAAAAAATTATTTGTACTGTATTCACAATATTTTTTGTAAATCTAAAATTTGTCTAAAATATAAAGTTTATTTAAAAAATAGATACAAGGAACTAAAACCTGCATGACAACATATTTCAATCACATAACATTAAAATTATCTATTACTTATCCAACTGAAGAAAGATGAATGAATATTTTTTTCTCCATGCTGGAAAACACCCATAATCACAATGATTATTTTTAGAATTTGGGTTTAAATCTCTGATAAAGCAAAAACATGATTTAAAACAATTATACTTTTTTGTTTTGTTTTGAGAGAGTGCAAGCAGGGGAGGGGCAGAGACAGGGGGAGAGATGATCCCAAGAGGGCTCTGCGATGATAGCTGCAAGCCGGATGTGGGGCTGGAACTCATGAACCAGGAGATCATGACCTGAGCTGAAGTCAGATGCTGAACCCACTGAGCCATCCAGGTGCCCTCCCAAAAAAGTTATACTTTATACTAAAGGTGGGTGATACCAATCAGGATGTTAGAAGTAACTAGCATGCTTCACCAAAAGCTAATTGTGTCAACTAGAGAGCTAGTTAATTGATAGATCCCAGAAAAAGATTTTGCTCCCCAGTTGATAATTTTTTTTTTTCAACGTTTATTTATTTTTGGGACAGAGAGAGAGAGAGCATGAACGGGCGAGGGGCAGAGAGAGAGGGAGACACAGAATCGGAAACAGGCTCCAGGCTCCGAGCCATCAGCCCAGAGCCCGACGCGGGGCTCGAACTCACGGAGCGTGAGACCGTGACCTGGTTGAAGTCGGACGCTTAACCGACTGCGCCATCCAGGCGCCCCTCCCCAGTTGATAATTAAGCTGTACCTATACTAAATGAACCCTAAGATACAAGAGTTGTTAGGATTTACAAAATATATAAGTTGAAAAAATTGTCTTACCAAATAATTAGGAGTTCTCAGAACTATGGTGACTTTTGGTACTTTCGTATATAAAATGATTTCCAATCAACTTTGTAGGAACTCAAAAAGCAAAGTACTGTTGCATGTTCAACTTATTTTCTTCATTATTAAGAATCTGGGAATCTATGAGGCAGATTATTCTAAATTGAAACTCAACCCTCATTAATTCGTTTTGCCTTTTAATAAAGCCTAATGTGCTCAGGCCTCAATGTGAGGTGAAAAAAAGCACTAAAAATGTTATTGGACAAAATATAATTTGCCCAGTAGTCTAAAATAAACTGTACCCATTCCAGATCTTCAATATCTCCCTTTATCTTTGATCGCTGATAACACTAACATTAGTCAAATGTTTCGAAATAAATAGCATATATGTGTAGGGGAAACAACTTGCATGATATCAGCCACGATTTTCTTATATTTACACTGCTTTTTGGAAGTTTGCTCCTAATAGTCATTATTGGAATCAAAGTACTCAAAACAGCAATAACAGCATATATATAAACATGAGGATACAGAATACTGAAAGTGGTTCTCTCAGTATCCACTTACTCTTAAGAAAATTAATACTTTTCTTGTAAATAACTGGCTGAAACCAGAGGCTTTTCTCTGACTGAATTAGAGCTGGGATAAAACTACCATCTCTGCTATGCCAGGGTAAACTTCCAAAATCCCAAACAGTAATTAATGTCAGAGACCATGCTCTAAAAACCATTGTTTCTTTAATCTTTTCACCATTACTAAATCTTCCTAAGGAACTCTGCTACAAACCCTTCAACTTCTGAACAGAAGCCTACTGTTAAGAGAACATTCTGATGGCCATATACTTACAGCATTTTTAGTGATACAAATGCTATATTTGAGGTTGAGATCCACTCTACAAGAAAAAAAGTGGGGACGGGGGGCACTGCCTGGGTGTCTCAGTCTGTTTGGTAGCGACTTCAGCTCAGGTCATGATCTCACAGTTTGTGAGTTCGAGTCCAGCGTCGGGCTCTGTGCTGACAGCTCAGAGCCTGGAGCCTGCTTCAGATTCTGTGTCTCCCTCTTTCTGACCCTCCCCCACTCACACTGTTTCTCTCTCTCTCAAAAATAAATAAACACTAAAAAAAAAAATTAAAAAAAGAAAAAGAGCAGGGGATGGGGTGGGGAGAGGAGACAAGCAATAAAGGTAAATGCAGGCAACAATAAAAACTGTTCTCACAAACAAACGTATTTTCCTCCTGAATTGAGTTAGGTTCTACCCATCCAAAATGAAATTGCTAGTATTAATCGCTACTAATTTAGAGAATTCAAAGACTTTGCATTTCTGGCAAAGCACTTCCAGTCTTTTAAAATGATTTTGCTTGTTTAATTTTGACTGTGTCTCCCAAGAAAAAAAACACAGAGAATATCACAGAAGGGAACTGTATGTTCTACTCTGACTCTAAGAAATTTTTGCATTTTATTTGCTCTCTGGAATTGCATCAAGTGTGGGAAAAATATGCAGTGCACACATACAAACATATAATGTTCTCTATAACCCAACTAACAATATACATGTGTCTCTAAAATTATGTAATGTTTCTACTTCTGTCCTATGCTATCATATTGTGTCTAATTCTTTCCTGATTTATTTTTTACCATTACTACATGAGTTTCAATTAACTGAGTAGAGGAAGAGAGAACTTGAGATATGAATCCAAAAGGAATCATTGCAAAGCAAGCTCTTTCTGAAACTTGTTTTACTGTTTTAGGCTTAAGTGCACTTCCATATTAACAAAACTCACAACAATAGAAATTCTCAAAACAGCCTTAATGAAACTACGCCCTCAAGAAAACAGGTATTCTGAGAATATTTCTTAGGTTTCCTTAAAGAACTAAGCAACTTTATAAACGGTATATTTAAGACTTATGCATTTCACTGTACGTAAATTTTACTCTCACCCCTTCAAAAAAAAGTGAACTCTAATGCTATCTACAACACACTAAAATGCTTATAGTGAAGTATACTGATGTCTGCAACTTTGAGATGAATCAAAACAAAAAATGGATTGATGGAAAAATGGATAATTACAATAAAACATATAGCATATATCAATTGTAGAATCTAGATAGTACATATATGGGTCCTTACTGTAATTCTTTCAACTTTTCTGTGTTTGAAAAATTGTGATAAAATGACGGGGAGGGGGACTAAGGAACTTCAGACCCTGACAGCCTGAATTCTGCAGCTTGATCAATTCAAACTAGTTTATGAATAATTGTAACTTTAAGTCAGTAAAAATTACTCATATTGACATATAAAAGACACGCACGGATTTTTAAAAATTAGCATAATTTCTCCACTAGCATTCAACAATATTTCCTCACTCATAGAATTTACTGACTTGCTCCAGGTACCAAGCACTGAGCTATGCAGTTCACATTTACTAGCTAATTTAATCCTCACAATTACTCTAGAAATAAGATAGTTACTATTCCCACTTTACACATAAAGAAACACGGGCAGGGAGAAACTAAATTATTTGCCAAAGTTCACAAAGCAAAATTAGGATACCACTCAAGTATAACCTCATAGCCCATGTTCTTTTGTGGACAAAAGTGAGTCTACAAAAGGGAGACACATCTTATCATCTAGGAATAAGAACACAGTTTTCAATAGTAATTCATTTCAACAATTAAATTTCAAACCCAACATGCCTTTCTTGCTAACCTATAATGAAGGCACTAATACCGCTTGTTTAGATAAAGATTTTGAAAATTGCCAGTGGTCACAGGGTAGGTCAATGGTGATGCTGATAATCAAATTATCCTTGGAACCAATTTCTGCTAGGCTATATACCAACAAAAAGAAAAAGGACTAAACAGCTGAATTTCCACTAAAAACATCAGTTAAAAGACAGGAATTATCAAAACATCATCAATTAGGAAATAAACTTACAGCTTTGGAGACCCAGGGGACAGCCCACACACAAGTGATAGATGACTTGGGCAAATACCTCAAGATAATACAAATGAAAATTTATAATTTCTTAGATCTCCAATCAGGTCCAGTGAGGTCTAAAGCACTAACACCAAGGTGATTTTAAAGTATTTAAGACAAAGCAACAGAAATCGCTACATCAGCTCTGGGATAAGCTCAGTTATCAACTCTGTGCACTCAATAAGCACAAATTTATGATTTTTCTCACAGGAGCTTCCAACTGAGTATCTCGCCACAGGGAGTACCTACCTTTAGAAGTTTTAGGCATGTGAGCTCTCCACTTCTTGAACTCTGGGTTGAGAGAAAACCAGATTCACCTACTTGAATTCACTAGCCAATAGCAAAGTCAATGAGGAAGACCAGGGGTTTCAACAAAATGTTAACATGACTAATTGCCAGTTCCTCATAACCCACCCTAAGTAAGAAAAGGCTGTTGGAGAAATAGCTCACCTGGGGAGTGGACTCCGACTCAGAGACCGTTTGCTCATGAAAGGGCTGCTGGACCGTCTTCGACCATAGGGACTGGGTGATCTCCCACTGTAAGAGCCACTCCTTTCATAGCTGGAAGAACGTCTCCGGCCATAGGGACTCACAGACCTTTGTCGTCTACTGTAAGGACTGGGTGATCGGGTGCTGGACTGGTAGGCCGAGGGCTCCTTGTAGGGAGGACTAATTGACTGCCTTCTTGAGGTACTTCCAGGACTCTTCTTGTAGGAGTCATAATTGCTAGAGGTGTGAGATCTTGGAGGACTAAGGTCATAATCTTGGCCATAAGAAGCTCCCGAGGGGCTATCATCTTGCTTGGGGCTGTCAGACCATTTCCTATGGGGACTCCTGGATCTCCGTTTGGGGCTGTCCACTGTCTTGTAGCTTTTGGGTGTTTCCCTTTTCCGATGACTTTTACTCCGGTCTTTGTGCCCAGACTTCAACTCACGTTCTTTCCGGGTCTTCTCCTTATGTAGTTTGGATGACCTAGATTCCTTGTTGCTGCTGCTTTTGGATATCTGTGCCTTCCCATAGTCCTCATTCTCCTCATTTGAACGCTTTGAACTTCCTGATATCCGGTCCTTCATAGATCCCGATTTGCTGGAGACTTCCTGGTTTTTTTCTTTTTCTGTCTGTTTAGTTTTTAGTAAGTCCCGGGAACGTCTGTGCTGGTGGTGACGATGTTTGTGCAGGCGGTCACTCCGATCAGTTCCACGACGCTCATCATTCTCCCTCCTGTCTAGTTTGAAGGCCATATCGTCAGAGAAGGTATCTGAATCAGAACTGATGTCATCATACTCCACCAAAGGTTTGATAATTGTACCTAAAGGTGCTGCTTCGGGGGTCACCAACCCCATGTCTTTGGAGTGCTTGGATTTATGCCGCTTGTGCTTCGACACCAAGCGGTGACGCTCTCTGCTGTTGGAGCTGCCACCTCCCGATGACGGCTGCAAAGTTCCAGAAGCTCCTCCACTCCCGTCCTTCTTGCCCCCATGTCTCTCTGGATTGGGCATTCCCTTTCCCCTACCCTCAAAACGGGGAAAAAGTTCCCCAGCACTCCGAAAAGTAACCCCCACCCACCCCCCAACCCCACGCCTACCAAAGCGCCCCTAGAAGGGGGTGGGGAGGGAAGGGACTGTAGCCCAGGCTCCTCCTCCCTCCCGACTCCTCAGCACCCTCCTACATGAGGTGGGGGGTGAAGGAGCCAGGAAAGAAATGAGAGTTCCTCAGCAGTGGAGTTGAGAGACAACGGGTAGCTGCCCAAGTCTGTTTCCCGTCCTCCCCTCGCCGAGCCAGTCCTCAGGCCCGGACGCCGGGGAGGTCGAGGAAGTAGGAAGCCGACGGCCCGGGGGCTGTGGGGCCGACTCCGGCTCTGGGGCCCTGTGAAGACTGCGAGGGCCCTTCCCCTACCCGGTAGCCCGTCTCGGGGCGGCTTCCTGTCGCTGGGGTCCCGCGGCCTAGGTGCCTCACGCCCCCTTTGTCCCTCGCTCCTGAGGGAGACCCTTTTCTTGCCTCCGCCTCACCTCAATACCTCACACACTCATTCGCTCCCTCACACAGACTCAGTCACACACTAGGTTAAACCGAAACGGCACTTGGGGAAGGGGGGGAGGGGGCAAACCGAGGAAATACCGCGAGAATCCTGTGGGTTCTCGCGGTATTTCGTGCTTCCCTTTCACCTCTCAGCGCTTCTTGCTCACATAACGCGAGAGAGCGTCCCGAACAGGAAACGCGTTCCGGCAGAGTCTCGCGATAAACTCCCCGCCCTCCATTTGAGCAAAGCTTTATTGAAACGGTGTTGGGGGATTTTTTTTCTTTTTTTTTTTTTTTAATTCAAAGCTTTATTGGTAACTCTCGAAGAAATAACTCCCAGGCCCCGGCGCAAGACTCGTTTTGCACAGTTTATAACAACTCTTTAAACTACCAGGATGAAAATATTATCAACAGGACAAAGGGCGGTTGTGGGGACATTTCAACCCAAGTTCCTAAGCATTAACAATGCTCTCCGCTTATGTACGTATACTGGGCGCATTGTCCCTGTGTCTCCTACTACCTCGCAAATCACGATACCCTCATCCCCATTCTACAGATAACGAAACTAATAGTCACCGAAGTTAAATAGCTTACTCAAGGTAACAAAGCTAGTCCAGCAAGTGCCAAAGATGAGATTCAAATTCAAGTCTAACACTAAAGCACAGCTCTTGTATAGTGTGCCACTTCCTCTTTCCACTCTGTTTAAAATCTGAACCTGAAAATTCATCACCTCTTGGGATCATCTGTGGCTTTTCTGGAATCATTTTGCCTGTTCTCTTCACATGGAAGATTATAATTATGAACAAGTAAAACATGGTATTCATGCGTGAGAAAAAAAAAAAATCTTACCCTGCCCTTCATTTTCTACTTTTCAAAACTTTGTACACATTAACTCATTACATCTTCACAACAATCATCTGAAATAAGGTTGTATATGTGAGGAAACTAAGGTACTGAGAAGTTAAATGACTTTTCCAAATTTCTTCATTCTTCATCAAATTTATGTGTGAGACTTTAAGGCCCTTCTCTGTGATATAGCGTCTACTCTCATACGGCCATCAAGCAAGACATGGGGAAAATATTCATACCACAAGATATGAGGTGATAAATGTCATAAGAATGATACAGAACGCTCCAGAAATTCAAAAGGAGGCTGGGAGTGTTAAGAAAAAGTTTCATGGGGCGCCTGTGTGGCTCAGTCGGTTAAGCGTCAGACTTCAGGTCAGATCATGATCTCACGGTTCGTGGGTTTGAGCCCCGCGTCGGACTCTGTGCTGACAGCTCAGAGCCTGGAACCTGCTTCAGATTCTGTGTCTTCCTCTCTCTCTCTGCCCTTCCCCTGCTCACACTCTGTCAATCTCTCTCTCGAAAAATTAATAAACATGAAAGAAAGAAAGAAAGAAAGAAAGAAAGAAAGAAAGAAAGAAAGAA